CGGTTTAGCCCACCTCTGTATCCACTTGACCACGAGAGACTAGTCGTTTTTCTGGAATCGGTGGCGAGGGTTCGCACCCAGAGGAACTGACCCCTATGAAGCATAGCTGTCGCACCAAGCGTTTCATGATTTCAAAGTCGGTGAACAAGTTGCGGTCGGACACTTTGCACGTGCGGTTGCTGCAAGGCTTAGACATCGGGCACGCACTCCAGAGGAGTGCAAGTGCCCGGCCCCCGGCGAGCGAGCGGGGAGCCGGAACCAGAGATTCAGAGCTTGTCGTTGGGCACATGAGTTGGACGGGGTCTAAATGTGTTTGAATGGGTCTGTTTTTTTTGAGAGTGTTGGTTGGTTTCAAAGGTGCACCAAACAGAAACCAACCATTTTGGGGAGTCCCCCCAAGAAGACACACACCCGAATGTGTTTTGCAGTTTGAACATGCCGGCCCCCTTTGGTGATCTTAAAGGCATACAATTGCAGAGGGTTTGTTTCATCTCAACTCGTCACTGTTTTGCGGGCAACCGTTCTGATTCGATCCATCCTGCCCACACTTGCATTCAGTGAACCCACCCTTCACCAGGCACTATTTCTCAGCTGCAGTCATTGAGTTCGGCTGTTTGGCATTGTGTACAGGCAGCTAGGGTGAAACCAACCATCCAAACAGCATGTGGTGACACATACTTCACATGGGTGTGTCTGTAGTATGCGTGTTACGTGTGTTACGTGTGTTACGTGTGTTATGTGTGTTATGTGTGTTATGTATCCTAGGTCTCTCCCCTCTCTCTCTCTCTCCATCTCTCTCTCGCTGTGGGTGAGCTGTGCAATGCCTTACGTTGTGTTGCCCTCTGCTATAACGTGCTGTGTGATGTTGTGCTGCGGTGTTTTGTGTTGTCTTGCGCAGTCTCGTGTTGTCTTGTCTTGTCATGTCTTGCCTTGTCATGCGTTGCGTTGCGATGTGTGTGTGTGTTGTGCTGGTGCATACTGTGGTGTGTGGGTGCAAGTGTGTAAAGTATGTGTCTAAACCGCACATCCCACGGTTCACTGAATGGCAAGAAATCCACCGACTAAAAATGGGGACCACGCAACACCGAGACTGAGCCTCAGGCCTCTTCGGCGAACGTGGCGCGAGCCCAAAAATGACTGGGGAGGTGGGGGGCGATGTTTGTATCAACCCTGAGAATAGTCCTTTGGTGGACAAAAATTACATGACTATGAATTTTAATGGGGAACCCCCTCAAAAGTGGTGGACATGAATCTCCACCATGATGTCCACCAAAGGCTCCTTAATCAAGATGCACACCCAAATCAGGATTTCTCTTACCAGGCTCTTCCTTGAATTTCAGGCCCATGTTTGGCTGAATTGGATTACAGGTCCTGGCGTCACAAAGCACGCAAGAAGACAGGCAAGCAAACGGAAGGTCAAACGGGAAAACCGCGCCAAAGCAAGCCTCAACTCAACCAGCCAAGAAGTGAAAGAAAGACATCTTGCAAGGCTATCAGACACTCGAGTACGGCGCACAGGGCGCCTGCGGCTACAACTCGGTGGCTGCCGGGTACTACATGGCACACAACCTGGGCAGCAAACTCCCAAGCGTGGCTGAATCTACTACGCATGGGAAAACCTTACGACAGCAGGTCAAGCAGCACATTGACAAGCACAAGAGCGACTTCGAGGCTCGGTGGGTGGTCGACACCTGGACTACCAGAGGGCGGTGAGGTCCCGACCACGTTCAAGTGGCTCTCCTCACTACTACCGAACAGGTGGATCTGCCACCAGAGCAAATGCCTTGCGGCAAACAGGCTTGGGGACTTGGATGCCTGAAAAAGGCGAAATGAATCATTTGAAGGGGCCCCTTTTGCTTTGAGAAACACCCATTGGGATCTATCACTACTGGACATGATTTTTTTTTTTTTTTTTTCTGAGGTTTTAAGCAAATGGAGGGTTTTGTTTTTGATCCGTGGCACTTCGGCAAATGGAGGGTTTAGGGAAACACCGTTGACGCTGTTGACGCAAGGTTGATCGCCTTGGCGCAGATGAAGCTATTGCCCACCACTTTGGGTTCAAAGATGTTTAAGGATCCATTGGATTCGATGGAACGTTCTCGTGTCTCTCTGTTATCGCTTTAGGCTTCGTTGTTTTTGTGTTTGAACGATATGTATATACGCATATATATATATATGTATATTATTATATATATATATATGTGTGTATGTATGTATGTATGTGTATGTATGTATATGGTTTCCTCCTTGTTTGCAATATTATAATATATATATATATGGTACAGCGTTGCCAGCCCCCCCCCCCCCCCACCAAAGGTCATGGTCAGGCAAGCACCCCCCCCCCCCCCCCTGTGGTTGTGGTCCTGTGGTTGGGTTGTGGTGGTTTAGGGTTGGTTTAGAATTGGTTTAGGGTATATTTAGGGTGTATTTAGGGTTAGTTTAGGGGTGGTTTAGGGTTGGTTTATGTTGATTTAGGGTTAGTTTAGGGTTGGTTTAGGGTTGGTTTAGGGTTGGTTTAGGTTTACGGTTTAGGGTTTGGTTTAGGGTGTTTTTGGGGTTGGTTTAGAGTTAGTTTAGGGTTGGTTTAGGGTTGGCTTAGGTTTAGGGTTTATTGTTTAGGGATTGGTTTAGGGTGTATTTGGGGTTAGTTTAGGGTTGGTTTAGGGTTAGTTGACGGTTGGTTTATGTTGATTTAGGGTTGGTTTAGGTTTAGAGGTCTACGGTTTAGGGTTTGGTTTAGGGGGTATTTAGGGTTCGTTTAGGGTTAGTTTAGGGTTGGTTTGTGGTTGGTTGCGGGTTGGCTTGTCCTGGGGGTGGGGGTGCCGGGTGTCGGGGTGCGAGTTCAGGGGGTCGGGGTGGGGGTGGGACCGTAGGTGACAGGATCCGGGGGCTCGGGGTCTCGGGCCGGGGGGGGGGCGGGGGGTCCTGGGGGACCCATACCATATGGGGGGGGGGGGGGGGGTAGCAACACGGGACACGGGACCATATAAATATATATATATACATATATATATATATATTATACATATATGCTTTCCAGATCCTTCATTGGCCTTCTGAAAGCCAGAATTTGCAAGCAGAGCCAGAAAATAAAGGGACCGGCCAATCGTATCTTCAATGCCTTTGGCAAGAAGGCGTTTGGGAGCTGCTCACTTGTGGTTTCCTTTCAAGAAGGTAACTGTGGTTCCTTTTAATAATGCGGGCGTCTTTCTTTGAACGTTCACCCCTAACGGTCGGTTATAACCATCACAGGGATACGCCCTTGAACGAAGAGTTCCCACCTAACAGGGCAGAATAGGTAAACGAGCAACTATGTCAAACAACCAGGTAAACCACCAGTGTATGGACTTGAAGCTCTTTGGGAAGAGCAATTTTGTGGCTTAGACTCTTAGACAAGAAGCGTGGTTCCTTTTTTTTGGCCACTCGGGAAGTGAGACGTGGACAACGAGTTTATCACACGAAGACAAATCAAGTTTGGTGTGACTTGTTTTTTCCCCAAGCGGCCAAATGAGGTCGCCGACACTGCGGGGAAGTTTGCCAACCTCCTGCAGCGGCATGGGCCTTGTTGACAGATGGCGGACGTCTGTCCGGCTTCATCCGGTTCACACCGAAGATCACCCATCCATATCCATCCGTCCATCCGTTCAACATCAAATACTTCAAGTTCAAACTATCAATTAGATCCGGGGAGTTGTTTTGTTTTAAACCCTGAACCCAGTCCTGAAGCTTGCCAATGTTGATGCCTGTAAGGAAGGCCTTGTTCAGTTCCCGTGCTGGCAAGCATCGTTTGGGCCCAAGTTTGGCCCAGTGCAGACGATGGAACCTTCATAGGGCCAACGCCCAAACAAAGGATTACGTGGGCCAAAGTCCCATTGCGAGGGTCTCCAATTTTCGAAAATGCCGGAAGTCCAAAGAAGCCAAGCGGAGATGCTGCACTCCAAGCGTCACTGGAGCGAAAGGGTTAGAAGAGCTGCTTGGAAAAGGACTTGGCGTGCAAGGCTTGGAGGATGAGTCAGGCTCTCCAAAAAATCAAGGGAACTGACGGAAATTGGATGGCAGATGTGGTGTCCGAGTTTGGGTTCCAAGTTCAGCTGTATACCCCCAGAGCAAGTCCTCAGAGTCGTCCAACTTTCCAGTATGGCAGGCTCAGAAGCCAGAAGCCATCAGAAAGGCAATTGAATCCCAAAGTTGGCACTTTGCTTCTGGTAGCTGACCCTTAAATAGTGAGGTAGTGAGCCCTTTTCTTATGTGAAAGGACGGTCGATGGTGACATCTTTGGTTCTCGATCCTTGCCCGGTGCGAAAGGGGTGCCCTGAGTCGTTTCCCGCAGGGGTTATGGAGGATTGCCCAGCAGTACCAAGATCACTGAATTATTATTGTTGGCTTTCGTTGGACATGGTCATGGCAGGATGAACATGATGTTTGCTGTCTAAATCTTGACGAAAGTTGAAGGTTCGCGCTTGATGCTGGAAATCGCCGCCATTCAACTTTCTGCAGAGGGCTTAGGCAGAGACTGCACAGTCGCAGGGTTTGACTGGCAGTAATGCCATGGCTGGTGTTGAATGTCACAGCGAATGTCCAGAAAGATAAAATGCTGATCGGCTGTTTGGTTGAGTTGCTTCATGTAGCAAAGAGTAGCCCCTCATTTACCGGTTGTCCGACACGAGTTCCACTCACACATTGAGCCAGACATGCCAAGCAGCTCCCTTACCCAAGTTCGCTTGACTTGAGACCAGCCATGGTTCAGGGGTCCCTAGATTTCCCCTGTGTAACACATCACCGTTAGGTCCTCCATTGTTTGCGTGAGCTTCCTTTGACAATATGTTCGGGGGAAATCAGGGACCCCTCTAGAGCGGGGTTGTGGGAAGGGGCTATCCCCACTGCTGTACAAGGGAATCTCCCCCCTATGTCCCTATGTTTCCTTAGTCTTTTTTTGGGGCTTCCCTCTTTCTTGCAAAAAGAAGTGGTAATTTCCCTCAACCCTGCTCTTTTCTAGAGCCATGCGAGAAGTCTCAAATCCTTTGGGAGTGATTGACGAGCTCTTCTCGCCCTTCTCGGATGCCAACGACTCCAACTCCCGCCCGCCGCGGGAGTGGCGGGAGAAGGCGCACTTCATCCGAGCCCTGGAGCTGGAAGATGAGGACTCTTGGTGGCGAAGCCAGCCATCCGGTTCCTTAGCCTTTTAGCCTTTTAGTGTTTAGTGGTTGGATGTCCAATTAACCCACTAAAGTTAAACTTGGGCCCAAAGAAAACATAAATGCAAAAAACAAAGCAAAACAACGTCATGGTCGAAAATTCTAGGTTTGGTTGGAAATGCAGGGTCCCCTAAAACATAGTGTCCCAATCATGGACCTGCCAAGGATTTTCTTAGAGCCATTGGTGAGACGAAAGTGGCATAATCTTCCTTTTTGCTTCGGCTGTCCTTAAAACAATGGTGTTGCTTTTTCCCTCCCATACCGAACAAATCAGACCCCGGGTTCCAAAATAGTAGGACCCCTAAACTGGAGTTTGTTTTTCCCCTTGGTGCTGAAGAGGGTAGCTCCAAAAGCACAGGGCAGTTGCACCAGGAAAACTTCGAGAAGGTGCCTTGCCTGAACGAGGCGCCGGAAACCCCGCAGCTTTCGCTGGTGCGGTACAGGCGCGCCGGGTCCCGGCGGGGGGGTCCCGGCGGGGGGGTCCCGGGTTGAGCCGACTCGTTGGTTGACAGTGCAAAAAGCTTCCCGGGGTCGAGCTTGAGATCGCGCCCGTTGTACAGGGAGTACACAGTGGAAAAAGGGCTGGACCCATTGGAAGAGGGTTCATTGTCCGAACAGAGGTCCAAGTTTGTGTTCACCCAAGGAGATCCTCTCAGTCCTAAGAGCGGGCCCTTTGTGCCTTGCAAGCTTTGGGTTCCCAGGTCTTTGACTGCCAGCGAATCGTTTCGGGACAAAAACAACGCGAGTCGGAAGCGGCTCTGACAGGTGATTTTTGTTTGGAATGACACCAACCATCCGACCGCTTTCCCACAAAATCCCCTTACGATTCATTCCCAAAGCCCCAACTTTCTGAGAACCAGCCAGAATGGGGGTGGGCGCAAGCGTGCGGGGACCCTTTGCCCATTTCGGGTTTCTTAGGGTTCCCTTCAAGTAAGCAATTCTCTACTGTGACTGGACAAAAGTCCTACACCAGTAGATGGTTTATCCCAATATTCCTACGGCTTAATCCATCCCAACTAGGGTCAAATTAGAAGGATGGTGTCCTTTTTTGTTTCCGTTTGAAACCCTCAAACAAGCTTCACCCTGCCAGGTGCATGGTCCAGGACGTCTTCGAGCCCGAGTGGTACGCCACACATCTGCTGGAGACGGAGGGCGAAAGCGGCGAAGGCGGCGCAAGCGGCAGCCGGCTGGTGACAACCAAGTACCGCGAGGTCTGCAGCTGCCAGGAGTCGGGGCCGGGGGGGGGGCAGGGGTGGGGGTTTGGCGGCTGGCTGGGTGGGTGGAGGGGGGGAGAAGAATTTCCATGGAGCGGCGCAGGGCCTCTTGTTGCCATCCAGCACTTCACGCTGCAGCTCATTCCGAGGATCCCGGTTCGAAGCAGGTGATGTTTGGAGGTGTTCTTTCATGCATGAATCAGAGTAACTTGCCTTGGCATGCAGGGGGTTTTCCTTAAAGAAACAGCCGCCAAATAAAACGCGAGTCCTTTATTCCGCATGGCCACTAAAAGGTTGGGCTCCCATATTCTTGCTGCGATAAGCAGATAACGAGAAATGGAACTGACCGTTTTGGGGTCCCCTTCGAGGAAACCTCCAGTTGGATGGTTTTTCTTGGGGGTCGTTCCATTTCTCATTCCTTGCCTATCCCCCTTAAGGGACACCACCAGTTGGATGGTTTATATGGACCATTCCAACACATTCCCTGCCGATTTCAAACCAAGTATATGGCTGTGGCTCAAAAAAAAAAAAAGGAACCGAAATGGAGCCCAAGGAAGTGGAGACATGGACCAACACCTGCGGTTTGCCCCTGCTTTGATCTTGAGCCACACCCGTTTCCCTTGGGTGAGTCGTCGTCGGTTTTCTTACGCCAGGAGGGCAAGGTGCTCCGAGACCTGGGTCGCCGTGGCCTAGGCCGCAACGTACGTGGCCGTGTGGTGGTCCCAGGTAGGTTTCTGTTCCAGGGTGAGGTTTGGTAAGTTTCGTTTGGTAGGTTTGGGTTTTGTTTGGTAGGTTTGGTGGGTTTGTTCCAGGGCGCCAGGTAGGTTTGGTGGGCTTTGTTTGGTAGGTTTGGTGGGTTTTGTTTGGTAGGTTTGGGTTTTGTTTGGTGGGTTTTGTTTGGTGGGTTTGGTGGGTTTGTTCCAGGGTGCCAGGTAGGTTTGGTGGGCTTTGTTTGGTAGGTTTGGTGGGTTTTGTTTGGTAGGTTTGGGTTTTGTTTAGCGGGTTTTGTTTGGTGGGTTTGGTGGGTTTGTTCCAGGGTGCCGGGTAGGTTTGGTGGGCTTTGTTTGGTAGGTTTGGTGGGTTTTGTTTGGTAGGTTTGGGTTTTGTTTGGCGGGTTTTGTTTGGTGGGTTTGGTGGGTTTGGTGGGTTTGTTCCAGGGTGCCACGTAGGTTTGGTGGGTTTTTCCCGAAAGCATCGCGAAGGGTTCTTCCGTGCGGAGCCCTTGGACAAGTTACATAGAGCCAAGTTACATAGAGCCAAGTTACATAGCGCCAAGTTACATAGAGCCAAGTTACATAGAGCCAAGTTACATAGAGCCAAGTTACATAGAGCCAAGGTTAGGTAGAGCTTAGAGCTTCGGCGTTAGCAGCTATGTAAGTTAGTTTAGGTTTCTAAGGCGCCGGGGCGGGAGTTTGATCGTCGCTCGGGATTGCGACCCTCTGCGGAGATTCGCGTGGTCGAGGTTCAAAAACTGAGGACTTTTTACGATTTCTGCGGTGCGCGCGCGACTCTCTGCGGAGATTCGCGTGGTCGAGGTTCAAAAACTGAGGACTTTTTACGATTTTTAGCATGCGCGCGCGACCCTCTGCGGAGATTAGCGTGGTCGAGGTTCAAAAACTGCGGACTTTTTACGATTTCTGCGGTGCGTACAAACGTAGTACGCGGAGCGTGCTCCTGCAGCTCCGGGTGGAAAATCGCAATTTTTAAGTACAGACGTAGTATGCGGAGCGTGCTCCCGCAGCTCAGGCTGGAAATCGCAACTTTTAAGTACAAACGTAGTACGCGGAGCACACCCCCGCAGCTCCGGCTGGAGAATCGCAATTTTTTAAGTACAAACGTAGTACGCGGAGCACACCCCCGCAGCTCCGGCAGCACTTGCGCAGAGCAACTTGCGCAGAGTCACTTGCGCAGAGCAACTTGCGCAGAGCAACTTGCACAGCGCAATTGCACAAAGCACTTGCGCAGAGCAACTTGCACAGATCAACTTGCACAGAGCACATGCGCAAAGCGCTTGCACGGAGCAACTGGCGCAGAGCCCTTGCGCAGAGCAACTTGCTCAGAGCACTTGCGCAGAGCAACTTGCACAGAGCAGGCGCAGAGCAACTTGCACAGACCAACTTGCGCAGAGCACATGCGCAAAGCAGCAACTGGCGCAGAGCACTTGCGCAGAGCAACTTGCTCAGAGCACTTGCGCAGAGCAACTTGCACAGAGCACTTGCGCGCAGCAGCTTGCAGAGAGCAACTTGCGCGCAGCAGCCTGGAACAATGCAGCTTGCGCAGACCACTTTCGTGAGAAATCGCGCGGTGCAGTTCGAGAGGAAAGTAGGATGATGAGATGGAGCTCTCATGTGACCATACACACTGAGCATCGCCGCGCGCAGACACGCTCGCCGCAGCGATGTAAAAAGGTGTCTCCGCAGCTGGATGAGCACCTGTGGAAAAATGCTTTCGGGCCAATCGTCCTCTAGTGTTTGGTAGGTTTGGCTTGGTGGGTTTTGTTTGGTAGGTTTGGGTTTTGTTTGGTGGGCTTTGTTTGGTGGGTTTGGTGGGTTTGTTGCAGGGTCCCAGGTAGGTTTGGTGGGTTTCGTTTAATTGGTTTGGTGGGTTTTGTTTGGTGCGTTTGGTGGGTTTGTTCCAGGGTGCCAGGTAGGTTTGGTGGGTTTTGCTTAATTGGTTTGGTGGGTTTGGTGGGTTTGTTCCAGGGCGCCAGGTAGGTTTGGTGGGCTTTGATTGGTAGGTTTGGTGGGTTTTGTTTGGTAGGTTTGGTGGGATTTGCTTGGTGGGTTTGGTGGGTTTTTCCAGGGTGCCAGGTAGTTTTGTGGGATTTGTTTAATTGGTTTGGTGGGTTTGGTGGGTTTGTTGCAGGCTGCCAGGTAGGTTTGGTAGGTTTTGTTTGGAAAAGCAACAGGAGAACCAACAGGTTGACTGGTTGGTTGGTTGGTTAGTTGGTTGGTTGGTTGGTTGGTTGGCTCGTTTGTTTTCCTTCTGGTTTTTGGAAACCAGAAGGAAGCCAATTGGTTCTATTTTGAAACATGCTCAGAACTCGCCAGGATGGGAGGGACCATCCTAGACAATACAGCAATTTGGTTCCTCGCGTTGAATGTCGAAGGGTACCCTTTGGGACGCCAACAAAAGGTTGTTTTAACAATTGGTGTTTAAGAACAAGCAGTTCAACACGCTCTCCAATTCAACAATCGTAGTTTCAACTTCAGGTGTGTCCTTGTTCGAGGCTACTTTTTTGGGTGGTTTTATGTTGTTTAAAGGAACACCCACAGGACAAGTCGCATATTTGTTGGGGGGGGGTGGGGCATTCTCTAAAAACGGGACACCCATCCAACGTCTGACCACTTGTCCTCTTCCAGGCACCCGGGGCGCCTATTACTGCGTGCCCTTGCCGGCGGAGAGCTCTTGGGCGAGGCTCAAGGAGAACCCCCGAAAAGACGGTTTCGGGTCCCGGTCCCGGTGTCGCTTCCCCGAAAAGGGTACTGTACTTGTAGCGTATAACAAGGGGGCCAAGATAAGCTCAGGTGATATCCCCAACAGTATGTGGAACCCTGGTGGAACCTTACCTCAGGGCCGCCCCGGACCACCCCGGAGCCTATCTGGGCTGAGACCCCAAAGTTTCCGCTGTTGGGGAAAAAGAAAAGAAATCCAAGGGACATCCAGCATCCCCCAACTATTTCTTTTGTCCCATGTCCAACGCTTGTCCCAACAGCAGTGGTTTGGGGGGACGACAGTTTAGTTCGGGGAAGGACTTACAGGTAAGGTTTGTCTCCGATTTGGGGAGCGCAACTCTTTCCAGTCCATAGTCCAGTTTGGTTGAGGACACTGTTTCGGTCGGTTTAATGGGAGGCCAAGAGGCAAGCCACTCATGTTGGGACTGACCTAATTTGACATACGCAACTCGATGGAGGTTACCAATGGCAACACCCTGACAAAGTAGTTGGTGGGCACACAATAATGAAAACCATGGTATCCTTTGGGGTGTGTTTCAGATACATGTCAGATCCGAAGGGAAACCCACACACGCTCGGAGTCCAACTCCCTTTTTCAGACTCACCCAGGTCCTGAGCTCGCCCAAGACAGATGAGCTCTCCCATGATGTTCCCTTTTTTGTGGTTTGCAAATCAAACGGTGGCTGGACAAAACCATGCACCACTTGATTTGTTTGCTACACGGGTGAAGCAACAAAAACAGAACCTCCAAAGAACAAACAACAGCAAAAAACCAAAAAAACGCGAATCAGATCTAAGCACTTGCCCTCTGGCTGTTTTCGGGTTTCATTAAGATCCTTTCGGTCAGCCAATCGGTTCGGTTTTTCTGCTAGACGTCCAAGATCAAGTTTCACAGTGGATCAGGTCGACAATGTTGTTGACACCATTTGCTGACAACATATGGCCTTCCGAGCTTTTACCGATGCAGGTACTTTTAGTTGTTTTCATCCCAATCAGCCGACGCTGCTCGAAATGGACAAAAGCCCAATACAAGTTTTTCAGTAGCCATAGGTTGTGTTGCAAGTTGCCAGGCAAAGTTGCAGCTGACATACAGTGCCACTTAGGTAGTCGCTTGGGGAACGCTGAAATATTCCGACACTTGACATCTAGCTCAGCTTTGGATTATGCCATTCCCATAAACCCACAAGCTTGGGGTTCAAGGAAGTCATATGTATGCGTCTTTCTCAAAATTGGGAACCCAAAGATGGGTTGGTTTCCTTTGGATTGCCTTCAACCAAACCAAGGACCCCCCGCCAAACTGTGGATGGACAGACTCCTGCGGGTTTTATCCAATCTCAACTGGTACGATGATGTTCTCCATCCATACTGTGGGTGGACAAAATCCATTTCGCAGCATTTGAAACCATGTGAAACCGTTTTTTGTTAGTATTCACAGGCGAATCAGCAGAAGCCAGGGTTTCTGAACGGTGGTGCAAGATGGATTTCGCAACCATCCACAGTACCAGCGCAAATAAGACACGCGGCACTCCCTCGGCTAGGACTCCAGCGAGGAGTCTCCACAAGCCAAGCGCCCAAAGCACGGGAGTCGGAACTTCCCACTGCCCTGGGAGGAGCCGAATGGGATTCTTCCATTTGCTGAAATTATAGCTTTTTGATTTTCCCATGTTGGCTTTAAAGTGACTTTTTCACAATATACTGGATTGATTTGTTTTTCAGGGGGGCGGCGAAAAAGCAAATCGAAGGGTTGGACCTCTTTTTGGACGGCAGAAGAGGGGAACCCATTTGGGTTTTCATCAAACTTGAACTAGGCAAAACAAATGGCGGACCATTTGGATGGTTGTAGAGGGGAGCCTGTGAAAAGGTGTCTACAATATATATATATATATATGTATACATAAATATATTTACACACATACACTTTGAGAAACGCCCATATGAAATCAACGGTGTCTTCAGGCTTAACTGGCCTTTATGCTCAATCTTGTATTTTCCATTGTAACCAGTTCATTCTTGCCGGTCAGGTTTGTGTCAAGAATGAGGGCGATGGTTCATGGTCAAGAGACATGGCCAACCGAATTGTGGCGTGCCTCGTCTCGTAGCCAGCTACTTTTTGAATGGTCAACCGCTACCTATATAGTGGATTGTCAAGCTAGCCAGCTGAATAGCTAGTTGGCAAAATGCGTATGGCTATATGGCAGAATGGCAACTGCATAGTGATTCTAGCAACACATGCTGCGTAGCCAAGCTTGCAACGGTTGTTTAAGTATCTGCACATGTCAGTGTGCACACATGCGAAGCATGGTGTATTTACAAATCTTGAACACCCTGACAGGACAATGCTTTACTTGTACACACACTAATTATATGTTTAAAGTGGTGCACGTGCGCTATGACACTTGTTGGGTCAAAATACAATAGCTTACTTAAGACGGTCTGTGGCTTTGGAGAATTTCCGCGTCATTGGATGTGTGCGCAGCAAGCAGTGATGGGCACAAGCGTGCTTTCCTTTCTTTCGTTCGCGCTATCGGGTTCTTCAGGAGACAAGCAACTAGCAGAAATTGATTGGAATAATTAGGCCTACGCCCTGCCAGAAGCAAACCTTGCACATGATGTCAAACTCGGATTCATTTGGACAACCATACTTTCAGGGGTGGTTCCCCTTTTTGCATAGCTCATTTGTCGGGAATTTCTCGGAATTGTGTGGTTTTCTTGATTCATCCGAAGTTGACTTTGTCAACACATGACATGTGTTCCCAGTAATTAAAAGAGCGTTTGACTGGCTCCCATGACCTGCCAGGTCACCTTGTTGCATTATCGTTTCGTGGACTGAATCATTCACAGCGTGGATTTTCAGTGTTGGTTCTACAGCTTTGTATTCCTGATTAGGGATTTGTTTCGGCTTCCATTAATTTATTTGTGCAAGCGCTTGTTGTTTGCCAATGACTCTTGTGTTGGGCTGTTATTCACAAGTCGGGACTCGTTGAAAGTGGTGAACCTCCTTGTAGTTTGCATTTTCAGGGAACTCAAAGCAACCCGACCATTCGTGACCAAATCCTATTGTGAGAAACCCAGTCACACGCCATCCGGCATCGGATCCGCTTGGGAGGAGGACAAAGGCGTCGCCTGCGTAGTGAAGCTCTATGATGATCACGACCCCTGGCTGCAAAGAGCTGAAGTGGTGTAATGGATTCCCTCATGCAGCCTTTGACGCAGGAGCGGGTCATGGACTCATGTGCAATCGTGTGTATGCATGAATGTGTGCATATATATGTACATATGTACATGTGTATATAATATATATATATATACATATGTGATTGAGACAATTATGTTTCTTGTCATGCACGCGCACAAAGCACACGCACACCACGCACACCACGCACACACACAGAGACAACACGCACACACCACACACATAAAAAAAAACACACACACACACACACACACACTTTGACACACACACACACACTTTGACACACACACACACACGTCAATACAGACACGCACACACACACACACAGACACAGACACACACACACACAGACACACAGACACACAGACACACACACACACACACAGACACACACACAGACATACAGACACACAGACACACAGACACAGAGACACATAGACACACAGACACACAGACACACAGACACACACACACACAGACACACACACACAGACAAACAGACACACAAACACACAGACACACACACACAGACACACAGACACAGACACGCATACACACAGACAAACAGACACGCAGAGACACGCAGACACGCACGCAGACACGCAGACACGCAGCCACACACAGACACCCAGACACCCAGATACGCAGACACACAGACACCCAGATACGCAGACACACAGACACACAGACACACAGACACACAGACACACAGACACACAGACACACAGACACACAGACACACAGACACACACACACACACACTGAAGTCCAGCAACATGTGAAATCACATTTACATGATTGAAGCTTAACATTGCGCAGACCAGATGGTCAAATGATCATGTAACCTCCCCTGCCAAGGAAGATCAGGGCATACCTTTTGTCTCTTCCGTGTTCGGTGGTGAAATAATGGACTCACTGTTTTTGCAGTTGTTTTTTCAGGGGACGCATGCTGATTTTCCGAAAACGGGGTGTACAGGCAGACCGTGCGGAGGGTTCCAACTTGTCTCAGCTTGCTCATGATACAGCTGACAGCGCATGCCCGCTGCGCCTTCCAAGCTGATGAATTGACGCGGTTTCGTCCAAGTCCAAAGACAGAGGCGCACCAAAGCATCATTGGCTCAGAAGGGGCATCCTGGAGTTGTGCGGAATGATGAACAACGCCACTTGTGAATTGTGATCAAAGTTGGTGGGGACCTTTCCTCCGTTTCCCGCTAAATCAGGGGCAGACTTGAATGGCGAAATCATGGCTCTGAGGCGGTCCACCAGCCAGCCCATTCCACTGGCAAAGGAGCCAACCGTAAGACAGGCCCAGCACCTGTCATTGTGTGCAGCGTTAACACTGCTTGCCAGGTCCACATTCTCAGGAGCACCATGGCGCACTGCTGAGGGACCAATCAAGACAAAGCAGCATAAACAGGGACAGTGAATTTGGATGCTGGAAGCCAGAAAGAGCAAGCGGTAAGAGCCATTAATGACCGGCCCTATCCGACTTAGCGTTCTTCGCCGGAACGTGCCAGGAAGAGCTGCTCAAAGTATGCGATACGGTGGAGATCCTGGGTGTGCTTTGTCACGATCCGAGACTTGTCTTTGGACTCGGCTGGATTTCATGGAAGGGATTACAGGGAAACCACGGAGAAACTAGAAGAACGGGTGGCCCAAAGGCAGAACATATAGTGAGCGACGCATGTTCTCTGCGCTAGTAGTCTCTGCGCAAGTTCACTCTGCACGTTGCTTTGCGCAAGATCTCCGTTCGAGCTTCTCTGCGCGAGTTCTCTGCGCAAGTTCCTCTAGTTCTCGGCTTAAATTTCTCTGCACATGCCTTTCTCCGCATGTGCTCTGAGGGCAAGTGTCTCTGCGCGAGCTGTCTGTGCAAGTTCTCTGCGCAAGTTTCTCTTTGCGCAAGTTCTCGGCTCAACAATATCTGCTCAAGTCTGTCTACCCAACTTCTCGATGCACGTTTCTCTGCAAGTTATCGATACAAGCTCTCTGGGCGAGCTCTGGGTGCAAGTTATTTTTTTGCAATTGCTCTGTGCAGGCTTCTCTGCACAAGCTCGCTGCGCAACTGCATGGTCTAGTTTGTTGCGTGCCCCGTTCTCAGCGCAAAGGGTCGTTCTCAACGCAACTGCCGCGAAGAGTTGCAAACTACTCCAGTTTCTGCACATCGACCACGCCGATCCCCGGAGGACATTCAGCAGTCAGCTAGCCCAAGGTGAGAAAACAGAGGCTTGTCAGATGTTCCCTCTCATGCTTTCTAGCATTTGCTGCGCTACAAGAAGTTCCAGGAACCATTCGGACAACGGGTTGGGTCTTATCTTAACTAGATCAAGTCTGCATTTATTTGTTTGATGGCTGATTTGTAGAATCCCACAATGGGGTTAGACTGAGTGTTCAATCGGTAGCTCGCCACCTGAGTTTGTGCATGTGTGGACCACTCGCTTTGGTGCGTTGTAAGACACTTGTTGGTCGTTGGAAACGAGGTGCTTGTCGGACAGATGAGCGTCTTTGCATAGTATTTTTGTGAACCTTGCGCAGCCATATTGCTACTCCCCTAGTGGTCCTTCTCATTTCAAGCCTCACGATCAATATGTGGTCTGTTTTCCAGTTTTCTCATGTTTTCTCTCTCTCCCCCTTTCTATTTCTACCTCCTTGTCTCCTCTTTCTCGTTCTTTTTTATTTCTCATCTGCTTCTCTCTCTGTCCCTCTCTCCTCCTTGTCTTTTCCTCCCTTCTCTTTCCCTCTCCCTCCCTCTTTGACTTCGAATACCTGGCTTTCGCCCAAAGCGCTGCTCACTCGCCTTCCGAAGTCAGCCCCAGAGGTTGGAGAGTAATTCAGAGAAACGCGGCGGCTGGTTCCGAGCGGGTTCCCCCAGGCACCCTTGTGAATGCCAAGGTCGCGTGGATGCCTCAGATATTGCAAGTAAGCTACATGGTTGTTGTTGGGATTTACATTTTTCCCATTTTTGACCTGATGCGGTTGAGTGGTTGAAATCCAACCACTTAACTGCTAAAAATTAAAGTTTTGCTCCCCTTCCAACGTCAACCAAGTACTGAAACAGGGAAACCCACTGATTTACCATGATTTGCCTGGCTTTCTTGCGAAGTTTTGGGCATCCACCGTGTGCGTCACAAACTCACCTGTTGCGATGTTTGAGTTTGAGTGAACCCCCCTGTTTTGGGCTCCTATTTTGACACAGGGAGGTTGATCAGCTTTCCTGCTCCCAACTGACCATGCGTAACTTTTTCCATGTAATGGGAAAGATCATCTTTTTAGCGGTTGTCCCCAATGGGTCATGCAATGTATCACCTTTTGATCAACCCCCACATACGTCTCCGCGAGGTTGGAGTCCCCTTGCTACCGACTGCACGGCCTGGTGATCCGAAAACTGCCCTTCTATCACCCCATGCTGGCATTCAGCCCCCAGCCCCTTGGGCAGAGAATGGAAAAGGGTCCCACATGGAAGCTCTCCCCAAGCGTGTCCGCCAAGAGGGTTCCCGCAGTAAAGCAACAAGCCGGTATGTTTCGGAGAAATTGGTTTAAACTGGTCGCTGTGAAGTTAAAGATTTCTTTCTACACACCGGACCCTGGTCCTGAGAAACACCGAAAGTTTAAACTAGATGTTTAAATGGTTTTGCAGCACCCGAGCTTTGGTCCCCGGAACTTAAAAGGTTGTTTCAACCGCTAGACTTGGGTTGGCCCGTGGCCACTCCCGGGCTCTCTGAGAATGAACGACATTAACCCAGGGATGGTTCAGTACCCCCAAAAGGGGAACCCTTGGGTTTACGTCTATCTTCGGGTAGTCAAAAAGTGGAGCGCTGATAAGAGTCATTCCCCCCTTCACTGCGCAACAGCAAGATGATAGAGACAAGAGTCAACTGGTCTTGGGCAGTTTTGGGCGCTTCTCAAATCAGAGAAGTGACGTACGTGAGATCTGTCAGGACACGACCCCGACGGTTTGCTAGGCATGTTCTCAAGCCGAGCCGGCATTTCCTCAAATGCGTCCGGATGGTTATGATTTTTTATGGCAGGGATGCCTTCACTTCTCCCACGATGGACCGGCTCTTTTGTTCGCTGGGCGCAAACGTTACTACGACTCTCGGCAACTGGGCGGGTCCCGTGCTTGACGCGTTGGAGACAACTGGCGCACTGGTCCACTTACTCCCACTCCCCTTACCTTCGGTTCCGTTGGGAGGGAGGGTCAGAGCCTTTGCTCCCGGCTGGTTGCTCCGCAGCGTTTTCTCCCTTCCGGCGGTTTGCTCCCCGGCGATGTGTTCGATCTCTACATGTCAGTCTTGCCCCTGACAACCCTACATTTGCTCTTCGTTTCCTCTATATAGGTCAGTTTCAGCTGTGTTTTCCATGTCCCTTGGGCTTTTAGTTGATTTCTCACTTGCCCAATGGACCTGGAAATAGAAGGTCGAGCTTTGGAGACCTTTACTAACAATGGACCAACATGGGAAAAATCTTGGGGCCGGCCATTTGGTTTAGGTGGCTTTCAGAGGAGCGCCTCGCTTCCGCCTTCCAACGGCGCCTGCCCTTCGGAGCCGTGCAGATCGCGCGGCAAAACGCCCACGAGGCGCTGAGCAAGGCGTCCGGGAGGGAGGGGCTGCTAGGTCACCCAGTACTTAAAGAGGCAGGGTAATTACCTAGTAAGTGGTTAGAAAACCTGGTTATAACCTAAGAGATGGTTACCTACTTTCCAAGTACCCTGCCCCTTTAAGTAGTACCCTTTTACCCTTTTTGTTGGGGGAGGGTTCCCCTACTAAAATAGGCTACAGGAAAAAAATCGGGTACCCTTATTCCAGCCTCTCTGCTGGAGGACCTAGGCTGGGGGTTTTGACAGCGGTCGCTTCCTTGCCTCCTCACTTCCTGAGTTCCGTTTCGGACTTTAAACGTTTGGCAAGCCCACTTTGCTGGTGTACAACAAGTTCATAATTTGTTTTGGCCCACCCACTCAGGAAGTGGGGGTGCAGGGGTTTGAATACAAGGTGTTTGGAGGGGCTATTGTAGGCCATACGGCCATAACGATTCGTTGGCCCCTGGATCTGCCCAGGCTACTGCTAGAGTATGGATCAGGTCATGTTACGACTTGTCTTGTGCTTCTCAGAAACTGGAACCCCATCCAGGTGGTTGGTTTTCTTGTGCTGTTCCTTTGAAATCCAGCCATGACATGGTTGTGAAAGTTGGGTTTCAAGCCTCTGATACCCACGGCGCGACAAGTCACACAACCAGATAGTGTTGACCCCGGACTAACCCAGTCCTATTGATACGGGGGGGTTGCCTCCAAGAGTGGTCTGATATCGGGACACCGGATCAAAGTCCAGCAGCTTAGTTCCGGTTTTCATTCTTCACCAAGAACAAGGAGGTCCCTTCAAGACTGCCAGGGACATTTCTGGATGGACTGGACCAGTCTTGCCCAGGTGCCTAATCATTTTGCGTTGCAAGGCCTTGGGGAACGACGCGCTGGCCGCAGAGTATGCTTCATTGCCAAACTTAGCTTGCCGTGTTTTTTTTTTTTTTAATTGTTGTTTTGGCTTTCTTTAAAATATAAACACGCCTGGTTTTCCTCAGCTTGCCTTGCAACCAGGGATCAATCTCTTTTTTTTTGCTTTCTTAACTAAGCAGACAAAAACATCTACAGTATGGTTTTTTCCTTCCCAGCAAGGCCTTCTCGTTTTGGTAAGTTGTTCCTGTCCACCGCAGCCCAGGTTCTAGCGCTGCTGATCTCTCGCGTCTACGGGCACAGTGGTTCCATGCCCCTGGGCAGGCGGAAAGGAGTCGCCGTTGCGGATGCCCCAAATACAGTGGAGGGTTGCGGAATCCAGAAATCGCACCACGGTTCGGAAACCCTGGAATGATTTGATTCCCCCGTAAATGCCAACAAAAACAATGGGTTTCTCATGGTTTGAATTTGGTGCAGGAATTCGTCCATCCACCGTTTCGAAGGCAGCTGGAAAGGGAAACCAATTGGAGCCCTGCAGGTGGTCTCTGAACATCAGCCGCTGGGGCACCGCCGGCGGCGACGGCGTGTCCGTGGCAGCGCTGGTGGAGGCGATCTCTCAGCTGGTGCCACGGGTGCTGCGTCTGCCGGTGACGGCGGAGACGCTGTGCCAGAGCAACTGGCGGCCCTGGAAGGACTGGTGATTTTGGTCTGGAGGTTGGGCTGGGGTATGAGTTCTTGGTTTTTGGGGGGCTTCTTTGTACAATCAGCCAGAAATTGGGCAATGCTTTGTTGAGTCCCTTGTTTTGGCTGCTTTGGCGCTACAACAGTCAGGAGTCGGGGCTGACGTTGACAGTGGTAACATGACGGGGAACAGCGGGCCGAGAGAAGTGCTGGGGATCGGAAGCACCAGGAATGATTAATACTGTGAGCACATGGCGGGTTTTTTCTTGCAGGGAATGAGCGAGAGAGAGGGCGACGATAACCACAACCACAACCACAACAGCAGCAGCAGCAGCAGCAGCAGCAGCAGCAACAACAACAACAACCACTGCAACGACAACGGCAAGCCTTGTAAATGAAACCGTGGTCAATGGAAGCAAGTTCTAAAACCTGTAGTCCCCTGGTGGTTTAATTTTGACCATGCCCAGGTGTTTTTGTTTGGTAAGATGCAGACATACCTGCGTGCTCACATACATACGTGCATACATACATGCACGGTGTTTTTGGTTCAGGTATTCCTTTTGATTTCCTTTTAAATCAACTCAACAAAAATGGTACCCCAAAAGCAGGCACACCCATGTTGTGTGAAAATGGGTATATTATATATGGCCATGGGTCAAAAGCCCGTACCCCCAGTGAACATCCCAATGCCCACTAAAATAGGTTCTAACATGGGTGGTGAATTCACCTACCAACCAAAATGGGATACCATTGGTTTTGACCCACAGCCATATATATATAATATATTGTATACATATATATATATATACATACACATGAGTTTGCACTGGTCCCCAGGACTTCGATGCGAATCGCCTGCGAGCGGGGCAACTGCAGTTGGCCTCCGGCACTCTGCTTGTCCTGGACGAGTGCGGCATGACGCCCGGAAATCTGGACGAGCGCGGGGTGAGAGCCACACAGGCAGAGCGCACAGCGGCAAGCAACGGCGTGGTTTTGGTTGGACGGATCGATGAGGAGGAATTGGTGACCCATTTTGCCGCAAAACGACCAGCAAACGAGCCAGTTGGTTACCAAGCGACAGGCAGAATGAAGTTGGACATACACACCTACCGAAATGATGTCCACCAAATGGTCCCAGATGTTCAATGATGGCGCCCGAAGAGGAAAGAAACCTGCGAGCAGCTAGCTGAACGCGGCGTCATTCTATCTTCAAAGTGCTTGTTAGATTTAAGTCCTCAGGCTGCATGGTTTGGTGGTTCAGTCAGAGAAGTGTACCTGGGAGTTGGATCGGCGCACATCTAGGCTGAAGGTCTTGCGTGTTCTTGTATGCCCAGCGCTTAGGAACCCCTGCGCTCATTGGACGGCTATTGCGTGCACAGACTGTATATCCAAGCAGGATCGAATGCAAGCTCCATTTGCATGTTGGTGGGTCTCACAGTTGCGTTTGCGCTTGGCAATGTCACCCTTGATCGCAATGCCATGGTGGCAAGCAAGTCCTGATGCCTCCATGTCCAGGGGCCCAGGTCCAGGGGCCTCGTTTGCCGTGCCAAAGATTTCACACTTTAGGATGAGAGTGAGGACTGAGTGCGGATTGTTGTGTGTCTATGTCTATGTTTGTGTCTGTGCGCAGCATCTGCTTCGGTGATGAGTATCGCATCGCACATCTGATATTGCTCTCCTCACTCAGCCAGAGAGAGAGAAAGAAGACCCCGAGGAGTTATGCCCACCATGGCTATGAGTTTCAAGAGCTCCAAAGTGGTTTGAGGACAAGAAGGCCCAATGATGCCATAACGGTCCGATTGGGATCCCATTTTGGTTGGATTGGGTGAATTCGCCGCCCATTTTAGAACCTATTTTTTGGTTGGGCATTGGGATGTTCACTTGGGGGGTACGATTTGGATTTTGGCCCATGGGCAAATAATGTCTATAGGCTCCCCTATTTAAGTCAACACCACCGACCCAATGAGCCTCTATCCCGGATGTGCAGGCCATCGAAGCCTTGGCGAGCGACCAGCTCCTGGTTTGTGACTTCAACAGCTACGAGGCTGTTTCCCGTGCACGGCTTGGGAAGAAAATGGAAATGGCAAAGAGTACCTGCAAAGGACGCCCCTACCCCAGAGAGGTATTGTTCTCAGCACCCCGCGGGTCCTTGGCTTTCTCCCCAATAAAACAACTCAGACTCATAAACCCATGCTACTATGTAACAAGGGGGGTGTTACATACGAAAGTGAAAGAATCCCAACTATGAAAGGGGCCACCCCGCCAGCAAAAACGCAATGGGCTTATTGAATAATTCAGCCGCTGGATGTTGATCCCAAGCATAAAAAGGGCCATCTCGCCATTAAATTCGCTTCTGAGTCTTTTTGGTCCAGAGCTCCCAGACTTCAGCCGTTGGATTCACTTGGCCGCAGGTGCAAATACCTCTGGAAGTGAACTGCCTCTTCATCTCCCAGGGCACCTCCATCTTCAAGCCCGACCTCGTGCTACCGCCCGGCCCCCCAAAAACCCACCCGGTGGGTCGGTCGCGCGGGGAGATGTGCGCGCTCCTCGGGATCTGGTGTCTTTGTTCCTAGGTGGGTTCCGGGCTAAAACTTAGCGGAGGGGGAGTTGGATGGGGATCCCTTGGCCTATCTCATGCCCTGCCCGGAGCCCTGTTTCGGGGCCTTTTGGAAGAGTGGGGGTGTGCAGATGGTCAGCTTCTAGGCGCACAAATAAGCAGTGTCTCTGAAAGGTGTATGTCAGGTGCCATGCTGGGTGCTGAATAGCCCATACTTGTTGTTTGCCCTAAGGGGACCAAACCGGGATGTCCGCTCTTTTTTATGCATCCAGACCTCCCATTTAGCTTTAGCACCCAGCCGGGCAGCATGGCTGGAAGAATGTCTTCTAGGTTATCCAGTAGTGCCCTTTTTTCCTTTCTTGGGGAGGGTTCCCCTACTAATATAGACTACAGGAAAAAAAAGTCGGGCACCCGGGTATTCTAACCAACCTCTACTGGAGGACCTAGTGGTGAGACGAATCCAACGCCCGAGGCTTCAGCCCTCAGCGCCCTCACCTGCCTCGGCGCTGTCCGCCAGCGCCGTGCACGCGCTGCGCTTCTGGCTGGGCCTGGTGACGCGGCGCACCCAGGCGGCGGATGCGCGATGGCGGACGTGGACGGAGGAATCCTGTACCGTTTGGTAGGTGGTTTATCCCTCCCATTTGTTGAAGGGTTTGAAGCATCCCAACTGGTGCAGGGTTTTGTCCGTCCAAAGTAGGTCCAACGGACTCACGCGCGGGTGCGATTGTGAAGCTTGGATGAGTCTGGGCTCGGAAGCCTGTGGTGAACCACAACATGCTTGTGTGTGTGTGTGCGTTGTAGTCGGGGCCCCGCTCCCATGGGTGCTTTTGGTTTATCTTCAAAGTCCACAAAGCGGCATGCTGAAATGTGGCACACTCCAAATTAAAGTGGCAAGTAACCGCAAACCACGACCATTCTGTTTTGCCGCCAACTATTATACCACACTCACACACACACAAACACGAGAGTACGTGTCAAAACTCAGAGAAAAGACTAGGGGTTCCCCACTTAAACCAGACGCCTTCCGTTTTGTCGCTACTGTGGATGGACAAAATCCATTTCGCACCACCTAAGAACCCTGGAATGATTCGATTCTCCTGTAAATACCATAACAAATCATGGTTTCAAGCATGGTTTCATTGCGTGGTGCGAAATGGATTTCGCAACCATCCGCAGTATCACCCAATTGTCCGGCTGGCGGTCAGACCCCAAGAAAGCTTGGGGAATTCACTTCTGGCCAGGCGCTGCGGGTGCCCCCGCCGGTGATGACGGCGTTCAGCGAGGAGCGGGGGGGGGGGGGCAGAAGGGGGTGACTGTTTGTGGCTCTCTTTTTTTTGGCTGAACACATTAGACATGGATGCTGAAACAAGGGGCAAATTTGAAAACTCTCTGGGCCCCCGCACCCTCTCTCTCTCTCTCTTTCGTTAAAATACGTCGTTACTTTACTACAAGTGCAAGTGTTGTTTATGCTGTCACAAACACAAATGTAGTTTTCCCAGCATGCGCTCTTTTGCTTGTAGACTCAAGGCCTGCGGTCGAGTAGTGTACATCATGCATGTACAAGGGACAAGTAGTACAGCATGATATTTGACACGGCCCCTTGGTTAAAAGACCCTGTAGTGTCTTTTCAACCATATCCAGGAAGGGGAAAAAGTGCAAAGGGCTCAAAGTAGTTTTGACTGCAAAAGGATCGAAAGTAGTATAACTACAACTCTGCTGGCTGTAGTCCACTGACTCTCAAAGATCAAAAGAAACTGTAGTATGTACAGGCTGATCTCAGTAGCTCTCCTGTTCAGGCCTCAGTAGTGGTACTGAGTGGAGTTCATGAGATACATCCCGATGTAGTTTGGACCTGGAGGTCCAAAGTTGTAGTGAAGCTGTGGTGCTGCTTCACTGATGTAGCATCACCTGTAGTTAGGTGTGCTTAGTCCAATGCTGGACTCTGTAGCCTTGTTGCTGACCAATGCGGTGGTCAAGGCTGGCGTAGTGGTTGGTGGTGAAAGTAGTAAGGAAGTCAGGGCCTCCTCGAAGACAAGTGTAGTTGATCTCTGGAGGTGGAAGTGGTTGTTGAAATGTAGTGAGGAGTTTGTGTAGTAGTAGTTTGTGTTGCATGGGAAGATTTGTGGCAGTGAGTAGTGTGAATCCGTAGTATGTGGAACTCTTGTGCATGATGGTGTTGATTGCTTTGTAGTGGTGATCCTCTAGTTGTTGTGGTTGGTCGTAGTAGCTGAGTAGTTCAAGAAGGTGAAGAGGCATGTGGTAGTTCCAGATGTAGTTGTTGGACAGGTTGAAGGTATTGGTGATCTGGTTCATGTCGTAGTTGATCCTGTGAAGTCGTTGGGGTAGTTGCCGAGTGGGTAGGTGATGTTGACCAATGACTGACACCATGTGACTCAAGTAGTCACGAGAAAAGTTGATGAGGTGGCCGCTGCTGATGTAGTGTAGCAAAATTTCTTGAGGGAGATGAAGTCGAACGATGACCATGGAGTTGGTGTGCGATGTGGTGAGGTGTAGTGAAGTCAAGTGGTAGTAAAAGAAGTTGAACGCTTCTGAAAAGCGTAGGCTGAGTGGTAGTGAATCGTAGAGGGGCATTCGTAGGTCTGATGGCAGGTTGTGGATGGGTAGTTGGTAGTCGAGGTCTGGCATTGGTGTAGTCTGTTGTTGGCTGAGTAGTTGATACTCCTCCAAAGTCAGCCCCACGTAGACCTCGGCGTAGTTTCGTCCCTGATCCACAGTCGGAGTGTGGATACTGTTGTACTCGACAGTAGTGAGGTGGTTCAGGATGTCATCGGGCCTGTAGAATGGTGCATTGGTTGGTAGTTGGTGGTTGAAGTGGTAGTTGAGGGCATTGTAGGCCTCAGGTGGCGGAGGTGCCACAGAGACCATGCTGCTGGCATCTGTAGTGGAAGGTTGGTTGGGTGGTGTCGAAACTCGGTCAGGTGTAGTAGTGCCAATCTCCTGTGCTGGCACAGTAGTCTCAGGCGCGGTCGTAGTCACATCCATGGGTCCAGACATTGCTGGTAGTGCGATCAATCAAACGAAGTGAGACGGGGCAAAGTAGTGAGCCAAATGGTAGCTCACAAAAACACATGCGGGAATGTAGTAAAACAAAACAACATGTAATGTTGTCTCAAGCCGCCAAAAGCCGCCAAAGCGTGTGAGTGCAAATTACTGGTGGTACAATTACTGTGACTTGTAGTTCCTGTTACTATTACTTACATGCAGGTAGTTACATATGGCCATATACAAACTGTTGTGGTTGATGTGAAATAATTGTGAAACAGTTGTTGTTCGTAGCGCGTATGCCTATGCTCTGTATGAGCCTCTGTAGTGTTTCTTTGCTGATGTATTTTGTGAACAAGTCTGAGCTGTTGTGTAGTGTGTTGATTTTGGGGATTCTGATGATGTCGTGCTTGATGAGGTCTTGTGTGTAGAGAAATTTAAGGTCGATGTGTTTTGCTCGTTTGCTGGTGCCTTGTCGTGTAGCAATGCTCTTGCCTGCTGTGGAGTCTGTGTGGATGCGTAGGTTTAGCTTGCTGCAAATGTTGGTTTCAAGTAGGAAGTTTCTGAGGTGTAGTCCCTCATTAACTCCTGTGCAAATGGCGTAGAGTTCAGACTCTGCTGAGCTGAGTGCTATTGTAGCTTGTGTTCTGCTGCCAAATGCAACTGTTGTTCCTAAAAAGATGATGTTGAAACCTGAAGTTGATTTCCTGGTAGTAGGGCATCCTGCCCAGTCGGCATCGACATGAACGTCGAGATCCAGGATGTTGTTGGTGTTTGCTCTGAGTGTTGTTGTTGGTTCTATGGTGAATTTGTAGTGCTTGGTGCCGTGCAAGTAGCGTAGTAGATGTTTGACTCTCTTTTGTGAAAGTTCTGTAGGTGCTGTGAGGTCTCGTGCTAGTTCTTTTGTGGAGTATGCAATGTCTGGTCGTGTGTATGCTAACCATTGAAGTTTGCCAACAATCCTTCTGTACCTTTTGTGTTGTTCGTGGTCAAGTAGTGCTTCATCTTCTATTGTTGGTTTGTAGTGTGCAATTCCTGGAGTGTTCACTGAGTTGCAGTTGTTCATTCCAGACTCCTCGATCATGTTGTCGATGTAGGAGTCCTTTAGTCCAAGATTGCAGTAGTTGCCAAAGTGGTCGATATTTCTTCCAAGAAATTGTTGTGGTTTGCCAGGTTCGAGGTAGCCGATGTGCTTGAGTAGGACCTGCTTCTGGACGGCCTCGAAGGTGGAGTCGACTGCAGTCTTGTCACCAAGTACCAAGAGGTCATCCACGTAGACCATGATGTAGCAGTCGCGAGTCGCATTGGTGTAGACGTTAGGTTCTGACTTTAGTCTTACAAAGCTGAGCTTTTGTAACACTTCAGCCAGGTAGTCCTGCCATGCTTTTGGTGAACTGCGTAGTCCATACATGGCTTTCTTTAGTCGCCAGATTTTGTCCTGTTGTGGACAAAGTTCTTTAGGTGGCCAAAGGTAGACGTCACGTTGTTTACCGTCGTGGTCTTTTGCGATGGGTGCGTGTAGAAATGCTGTAGAGACGTCACCTAGTCGCGCTATCCAGTTTGGTCGTGACATTTGTAGTGCGAGAAGTGTCCGGAGTGTCGTGAACATTGGTGTAGAGGCGTAGACGGAGTCTTCGTCCTCGATCTTCTCTGTGTAGCCTTTTGCGACGATTCGGCTTCGTACTCCTGGTCCTTTCTTTCTGTGTACCCATCTTGTAGGTATCGCTTCTCTGATGACGTTGTCGTCGACGGTAGACGCATCTACTTCGTCGTAGACGTCATGTAGTTTCATTTGGTTTGACTCGTGTTTCATTCCTTCCAGTAGTTGTGTTTCGTCGTAACCTTCGTTGTCGAAGATTATGGGTTGGTCTTCTGAGGTGTCGTCGTTTGTGTAGGGTGTGATGGATTTTCCGTTGGGAAGTGTCACTGCGTTGATTTTCTGTCGTAGTGGTGGTGGTTCTTTGGTTGCTTGCTCCGTTGACCTGATTGTAGTGTCCTTTGAGGTCTTCTGTGCTTTAGTTGGTTGCATTACTTCTTCCGGAGTTCAACGTCGTAGTGCTTGTCGAGGTGGTGCTGGTAGTGGTGGATGTTGTCGTCCGGTTGGTGAAGTAGCCATCGGACTATCCGGTAGTGGTCGTGAACTTGACGTCGATGTTGACGGAAGTCGTGGAGGTGGTGTAGTGCGTTGTTGTTTTGTTGCGGGTTCCGCAACGATGTCGTCAGTAGCGTTCGTTTGTTGTCCGAAATCTTGCGTGGACCTTCTTTTCTCTGACGGTTGTAGTTGCGTATCCAACAGTGTTGCGAACGATGGGTTGTAGGTGTTCCGTCGTGGTGCCCATGGTGTGCCGGAAACTTTGTTCAACAGTGCGAGGTCGTATTTGAAGTCCGGTTGTAGTCTCCGTACTGTTCGTACCTTTTGTACGCCTGATTCCGTTGCGACGTAGTTTTCTCCGGTTTCGGAAACTTTTCCGAGCCAGATGCATTTCTGCATCCGTAGGTCTGCTTTTGGAAGTTTCTTGTGTTGTGGTGGAAGGTAAAGTAGTGTCTCGCCAAATTCGCAGATTGCTCGCTCGTAGTTTCTTCCCCAGCGGCGTTCAAAGCTTGTGTAGCCGTCTGAGTGAATGACGTAGCGATTTACCGTCCATGCTGCATGTCGTACTATCCAAGGTAGTAGACAGTGCTTTGTGGACATCGTCATGCTGTAGTTGCTTTCAACCTGAGCTTTGACGACGCGGATTTGTCCGAGAAGTGTTCTATGTAGTCGCTCAACGCTTCCTTGACTGTTGCTGCTGTAGGATGGTGAATGTCGTACAGTCATTGAGCCGACTTTAGATGCTGTTGCTTTTAGTAGCGCGTTGAGTGTGTCTTCGTTGTCGCTTTGTAGTATGCCTTGTGTTCTTCCGCATTTAAAGATGAATGCTTGTAGGCTGTTGATCATGTAGTCCATCATTGATGGTTTGTCCGGAACCAATACCGCCATGCACAGTTGTGTAGTAACATCAACTGCTGTTAAGACTGGTACGGTCTTCGGATCTTGTTGTGATTTGATGTAGGCAAAATCCACTTGGATGATGGGTTGTCGTGATTGTTGTTTCTTGTAGTTGTCCTGGCGTCCTTTGCCTTGAACGCAAATTGGACACCAATTTCTGTATGGTAGGTGTGTCAAGTTGTGTTCTGCTATCTGTTGTGGAGTGGGCTGCTGCGGTTGTCGTAGTCCTATTGCTCTGTGTGCTTCATGATGCTCGTGTTGTTGTTCCTCGTCGTGGTTATCCTGGATGTACTCGTAGTCTTTCTTCACGGTGAACCTTGTTGTTCCTTTCCATTGAAATGGTAGTGCTGCGTTGCCTATGACTGTCCAGTCATCTTTGCGTTGCGAAACTTCTCCAAAGTGGCTGTGAGTGATTGTAGTTCTGTGATGTTCAAGTGTGCTGATTGGTGGATGTCCTGGTCCATCTGTTGGAGTGAATAGAGTTGTTCTAAGTGTTGTGTGGTGTCTTATCCAGTATTCACCTTGTCTTTCCCAGTAGTTTTGGTTGTTTTCCTGTGCTGTGAGTGGTCTGTGGAGTGTCTTCTTTGGTTGTGTGGTGTCAAGATTTGTAGAAGGTGCTGCTTTAGGTCTCCATATCTTTTGTGGTGCTCGTAGTTGGATGTTTGATCTGGTTGGTGGTGTGTCCATTAGCCGTTGTGGTTGTGAGCTCTGCCTTGTTGGTGTGGTCTTTGATGTTGCTCTGCGTGTAGGTGTTATCTTTCTTCTGAATCTGGTTTCTCCAGTCCAGTTGTCACCTTCTAGTCTTCGTTGTAGCTCTTGCTTGGAAAGTTGTGTTGGGTTCTCTTGTAGTTGTTCTTGCTCTTGCCCTTGTCTGTTGATGATGGTTAGTCGCCAATGATCTAGTTCTCCTTCAGGTATTGGGCAACCGCTGTTGTGTGGTGTGAATAATGCTTTGCGTGGTCGTTTGTGTACTCTGATGGCGTAGTCACCATCAAGTTTCCAGTCGTCAGTGTTTCCACCAAGGATCTGTCGTAGTCCTTGGTCAGTGGTGCAATTTGTTCTTGTTGTTGTACTGTTTTCTCTGTAGGTTGAATCACAGCAATGGATTTTCCATTGTCTGTAGTCATTGGGTAGATGTCGAATCCTGTAGGGATGTCGATCTTCTCTGCTCGTAGGTAGAAAAGTCCAGAGTGTCTTAGGAGGTGTGCTTGTTGTTGTCCATGCGTGATGGTGCAGTGTCGTGGAGTGAAGTCAAGTCCATATCCTCTATCAAGTAGTCTTGACGCACTGAGGATTGGATACTGCACATCACAAACGTAGTAGGGTATCATGATCCTGAAGTTGTCCTGCTTGTAGGGAACATACTTGATGCCGTAGACAGGAATCTTCTTGTTTGTAACCGTGTAGAGTTGTGGAACCGATTCTCCACAAGGTCGTAGCGGTAGGTCTGGTGCGTAGTCCTTCGGGCAAACATGTGTAGATGCTCCTGAGTCGATCAACAGGTGGTGGTATGACTTGAAGTTGGAGTACATGATGTAGTGTGTGATAGTGTCCTCAATCTTCTTGTTCCTTTGTTGTTGTCTTGCTGCTGCTATGTCAAAGTGTGGCTGTGTGTTGTCTTCTTGTAGGAATTGTTGAAAGCTCTTGCTGTGGTCGTTCCATGATGTTGTGTGTGTTGTTCTCTTGCCAAGTAGTGATTTGGATTTGTGCTTGTGTAGTCGGGAGTTTGCTTGTCTGATGTGTCCAATGGTGAGGTGTGATTCGTTGATGCCTCCAATGTAGTTTGCTGTGTCATCATAGCTGTTGTCATTCCAATCCCAGCTGTTGTCATAGTCGTAGTCGTTCCAGTTCTCCTCCATGTAGTTCACCTCGTGTTGTCCTTCTTCTCCTTCGTAGTACCAGTCCCAAGTGTCGTTCACATCCTGAGGTAGTTCTTCATTGTTGTCATGATCTGCTTGTTCTTGTTCTAGTGGATGTAGTTCTTCTCCTTCTCCTATGTGCCATACTGGCACTCTGCAGTCTTGTGCCCAGTGGCCAGGCTTGCCACATCGATGGCATGTTGTGTAGTTGTTGTTTCCTTTTCCTTTTGATTTGCTGTAGTTTCCTTGGCCTTTGTAGCCTTTGCTTGATCCATATCCTTTGGATCCTGAGTAGCCTTTTCCTTTGCTCTTGTTGTATCCTCCTTTGTTGTAGTTTCCTTTGCTGCCTTTGTCGAATCCTTTGTAGTGGCCTTTGTTTCTGTACTTGCCTTTTCCTTTGTTTCCTTTGTAGGATCCTTTGCCTCCATGTTTGCTTTTGCCTTTGTAGTTTCTTCCTTTCCTCCAAATGTTGTCCACGTCCATGGGTGCTGTTCCACCATTGTAGTTTGTGCCAACCGCTGAGCTCGCTCTTGAGAATGCAGATATGGTCTTGTAGTAGTCCGGGATCACAACTCTGATCTCGTTGTAGTTCGTGATCTGTCCAGCACGTAGTTGGAGATGTTGTTGAAGTGCTCCTTTGGTCTTGTTGAGTAGTATTGCAATCTTCACTCCATCAAATTGTGCTTCATTGAATGTAGGTTCCAGTAGTTTGGTGAGGTAGCCAACACTGCGTGTTCCTACTGGTAGGCTGAACCTGTTGTGCAAAAGCCGTAGTGTTTCACATCCATTGGCATTGTAGCGGTTTTGTCTGACCACTGTAGCTGCTGCACCTTGGCAGATGTTGATGAGAATGTAGTGTAGATCTCGTGAGAGGTCTACTGCTTTTGCTGCCTGTGTAGGGTCGCGTATGTGGGCTCTGATGTCTGCATCTTCAATTTGTCTTGTAGCTGCTTGTGCTAGTTGTAGTACCATGTCGAAGTCTCGGTCGATGAGTCCGAGGTATGCTTGTAGTTTGAACAGCCACTCTTCGTACTGTGAGTAGTCACCAGTGAAGAACGGTGGTGGCAGTTTGTATTTGTGTAGCCTTTGGACGTCTTCCTGCTCCTGTGTTGTTCCCGTAGTTGTGGCTCCTATTGTCTCCTCTGCTGTGGGCCCGTTGTCTGCTCCTGTAGTTGGTTGTGCTGATGCTGGTGCTGGTTCTCCTGACATGTCGTAGTAGTTGGGCATGTGGTTGCCTGTGCAGTTGTAGTACTTACTGCTGTTACTGGAGCTTCCCTATGTTTAGGACCTCAGCTCCGCTACCACGTTAAAATACGTCGTTACTTTACTACAAGTGCAAGTGTTGTTCATGCTGTCACAAACACAAATGTAGTTTTCCCAGCATGTGCTCTTTTGCTTGTAGACTCAAGGCCTGCGGTCGAGTAGTGTACATCATGCATGTACAAGGGACAAGTAGTACAGCATGATATTTGACATTTTTTTTCTTCCTCTCTCTCTCTCTCTTTTGGGGAGCTCTTTGCTCGGGCAACAGTTTCAAAGGAAGCTGGGGCAACTCCCCAAGCAACTCATCCAACTCACCAAGTACAAGGAAGGAGCTGGAAGCAAACGCACAAGGTCAGGACTTCAACACCATGTGAGTCACAAGCAAAGCCCGGGCAAGTGAAGGTTAGTAAGGGACAGTCCCAACAAATAGGTGCCGCCTTCTTAATCCTTTACATGGTTTTGGGTAGAACATTTTGATACCAGCTTCTGATTGCGACTCATGTGATTACTGTAAAGGGAATCTGGCCATGGGTCAAAATCCAAATCGTACCCCCAGTGAACATCCCAATCCAACCACTAAAATAGGTTCTTAACTGGGTAGTGAATTCACCTACCAGCCAAAATGGGATCCCAAAACGGTTTTGACAACCACAGCCATATGGGTCTTGGCGGCGGGGTCCTAGTTTGACACATACCCACATGTCGACGAACGTTAGAGGCTCGTAGCAAGCGACTCCTTTTCGAGGACGAAGGTTTCATTGCCGGGAAGCAACGTGAGTCCATTCCGGAAGCAACATGGGAGGGGCAGCTTCGCCTACCTTTCACACCCAGTCGTATGGGTTTCGCCTCACTCACATGGAACCGGGCGCTTGCTGGAAGGGTGGACCGGGCGATTGGCACGCATTCAAGGACCCGTACGCGGGTAGCCGCTTGCGGCACTGTCCACTGCTATGCCTGTTGCCAAGGGCACCGCCAGCACCTGATGGATTGCCTTCTGAAGCTGAGCTTTGGACGCTGGCGTGATCGCATGTGAGAGCCGTGTGAAAGAATTGCAACTGGATGCCGGCAAATCCGTTGCAACGGCTTCGTTTCTTTTCGCGGGGTACAGCAATTCTTCGCGATCTATCTCCTTGAGCATCCTTTCCCTGCGATCGATCGGCAGAGCTGGGGAACCAATTTGCAAGTGGGACTTGACCATGAACCTGGAATGCAAAAGGTTGCAACTTGTCTTGATTCAAGCCTTGTGAGTTTGAGTCAAAGGAAGCGGTTCAGGATCTGATACTCTGCAAATTTTCGCATGGAACTCCTGAATTGTCTCCCTTTCAAGAAGCTTCCGAACCAGGAATGGGATGGTGAAACCAGCCGGGTTCCATGTGAATGGGAAGAGTTTCTCGAAGATCTCATGAGTTCCAGCCGAGAGCTTTTCTAGACTTGGCCATGTTTTGTCAGCTTCAGAAGCTTAGTTGCAGCCATGCCTATCTGGGGACTGCCCCTCCCACGGAAAAAACACAAAAACCAAAAACATGGCGCTAAGGACATCCACACCCCCCAATACGGCAACTGGGCCCTTTTTGAAACCACGTTTCAGAGGGGTCCAGCACACATTCGAGGAATTGCGAGTGCAATGACCCCTGGAATTTCCGTAAAGAGGGACGCTCTTTGTGAGTCGTCCGAAAGGTCCTTCAGCAACCGGAGCAAGGAATTTCAGACAACCGCCATTTGGAGAAGCACCCCACACCTGCAATGACCCATGGAATTTCCCTAAAGAGGGACGCCATTTGGAGAAACACCCCCCACCCTCCCCCCATTTTGCCCGCGAGATTTGACCTGGGGGTGAGACAGTAAGACAGGCACCACCGAGGTTGCACCAAGCCACCAAAAATGCTTTCCTTGTTCTCTCCATGGCCACTTCTAAGACGCGCAGACCTTGGAAGACGCCACAGGACTTCGCTCGGCTCCGGAGCCGCGGCACCGCGCTGCGCCAGCAGACGCTGCACGCCTGGGTGGCGCTGGCGCGGGCGGTGTGCTTCACCCATGGGGAGGCGAGCGAGCGAGCGGGTCATGACACTGGCGGGTGTTTGGCTGGAAGCAAAAGCTGAATGTGTATATAGGTCCATATATGATGTGAATATAAATATTTACATATACATATATAATATATGTATGCATATGAACCCATGGCCACTTTGGTGGTCAAAGGCAACATTCGGGGAAGCCCTGTGTTTCGGATAGTCGAAAGGATGAGCTCACCGTGGATCGCTGGCGCTCCGTCTTTGCCATGGAAGAGGAGCGCTGCAGACGACTTGCTGCGAGCAGCTGAGACAGGCATCGGCGTCCTCGGAGAAAAGAGGGGCTAAGCCGCGGGCAGGGTGGGGCAAATTGTTTGTACCACCAGAATCCTCAAGTACTGACCTTTTTTCCGGTAATTAAGGAATTGTTCGCTGCCACCCACCGCTCAGAACTCTTAATTACTGACCCCCCCTCGACCCTCGATAATTAAGGAATTGCTCGCTGGCCACCTCTCAGAATCCTGGTGCCCCTCAAAACGGGACTTGAATGGACGATGTTTACACAATCCGTGTTTCAGCGGGAGGTTGGGCGGCCGGGCAAAAGATGCGTGTGGGTGCTACCCTCCCAGCATGGGACCTGGGGGGGGGGGTTGTGGAAAGCCGCGTTCCTCTTGAAGGGACGCATTGAGTGGGTTTCATGTTAGTGGCTGGGATGATATACCACGACTGTGGTGTCTTTTCTATGAATATCCGGGAGCGTTCGTCATAGGTGTCCTTTTAAGGCCAGTGTGGTTGGAATTGTGTTGCGCAGGTTTCAGTTTGTTTCTTGTTACAAGTTTACCAGTGCCCCCTATTTCTCCCAGAGAGCGCGCTGATGGATGGTTTGTAAAGCAACATACCATCAGAGAAAGGCATTCCTGAACACACACACACTCACACATGTTTGCATCGTTGCATCTTAGACAGGAGTATGCAACAAGCGCTTTGGTTTCAACTTTGAGAGCACTAAGGAAACGTCGGACCGTTTGGAACAGCCATCTTTGTCGAGCAATGTTCATACATACACGTGCATGCATGCATGCATGCAGACAGACAGACAGACAGACAGACAGACAGACAGACAGACAGACAGACAGACAGACAACTAGCCGGACGTACATACACACATACACAAATACTCAAATACTAAAACATACGCACGCACGCAGGGGCGAACACACACACACACACACATACATGCATACAGACAGACAAACATACACACATATTGCACCCATCCATGGATGCATATGTCATATAAATATACCCACTCAGAAACACGCTTGGATTTTTGTGTCCATGCGCACTTGTTCACAGCTTCCATTTGCTGAGGCTCCGGACGCGGGACGCAGAGCAGTCCTTGCTAGACGCTGCAGAGGTAGCGAGGTGGGACATGCCATGGCCGTGCGGGGGGGGGCGGCCTTGATGCGCCTTATGGGAGTGTGTTGTTTCCTTTCAGGTTTCGGTTTTGTTTAAAGGTAAAGGGAAACACCGCTTTCTTTTTCTTTCTTGTCTATTTCTTTCTTTCTTTTTGCGGCGGGGGGGAGGGGACAATTTTGACACATACAGGCATCTTTTGCCGTTCTAGTCACAGGTCTTGGCAAAGGTTGTTTTGTTGCAAGGTATGGAGATACAGCTCTGATCTCTCAAGCGGGCAATCAGTTGGTTTGTTTTGTATATTGTTTGGTTGCACGTAGAAGCATTGATCTGCATTGCTGAGATCAACGCAACGTATTTTCGTGCATGGCGCATCATGCACACATATTTCACTGGCGATGTCTGCAGACTTTCCCAGGTTGGCCTGTTTGTCTCGAGACCTCGGGTATATAGATGTGTCCAGTGTGTGTGTGTGTGTGTGTGTGTGCAGCCAGCACAAAACAAAAAAGATGGCTGTTGGCGGGAAGGCTCAGCATACCTCACTGGAAGTCGCGGATGGATGGGCAAAGACTTTCAGAGTTGTGTTCTTATGGGGACAACTCAAAAGATGTCACGATGCCATCATGCCGAGTTGTGAAGGAGCACACCTTCTGGGTTTAAACATCTATTCTGACAATCCAGGTGATAGTGTTTTTTCCTTGTATTTTTGGTGTCCCACTACGGATTGGGACAAGGGATCCCAACCCCATTCTCAACAACCCAGACCTGAGCCTGACCCTTGAGATTCGCATTTGCTGATTTTATGGCGAGCTCGACTGGGGTTGAACGAGCCCACTATGTAGGTCCTGACCTTGAGAATTCCTTGCTTCAGCTTCCAATCCGGGGAGGATTGGCCGGATGTGTTAGAGCACGGGAGGTGCCGTCTACTTGTAAAAGATGGTCACGCCAAAAGACTTTGGGGTAGCGCCAATTATGGTTGAGCCGTGGAACTTTCCGGGCCAGGTCCAGGTCCAACATCCAGCGCGCACGCGGACAGGAGCGGAACGGGGGGACCTATTGACTCTCATAAAGGTCCAGTTACCTCAGGGTTGATGGTTCTTACTTGTTGATGAACCCCGGTGATGGTTCTGCGTAGTGGGTTTCTTTTCCTTGAAACAGAAACCACAGGGCGTTAGCAGAGGATCCTGTCAACCCGAAGGACAAGGACCTGCTAGAAGAGGCTTACAAGATTCAGGAGGAGTCTCGCATGGAGGAGGAGAATGCGCAAGGCCAGCCTTTTGGCAAGTTGTTCCACGTTGCCTTCGGAAGCGCCCGAAAGGAGCCTCTTTGTGAGGTTTTCGGAATGGACCAACAGGAAATCCCAAGGTGAGTGTGGAACCCTTGGGTGAGCTCGGAGAGGCTACTTGAGAAGGCGCCACGGATCAAGTCCTCAAACGAGTTGCGTATTAGTGGCGGATTGAAAGGCCCCACATTTCATACCGTCACTCTGATTCAGTTGATTTAAGGTGATCTTGAGTGATCATTGCATGTCAGTCTCGTTGAGTGGTTTTGGCATGCTTCAACTGGTGGCCCAATCTAGCTTCCACCCCTCAGAATGAAGCCAGGCCAGTCAATTGTCTAAAGAAACAATATTTGTTGAAGAACCCCTTTCAACGACGCCCCCAAAGCAATCAAAGCAATGCGCTCGACTATTGGAGTGGTCATGTCCTTGATTGAGGAAGAGATATCAGCCAAGGAAAAAACATGATTCGCTCAGAGTGGGCGATATTGACAGAACCCGGCCCCCACGTGGTAAGACTCACAATACTGTGTAGGACAGCTAGTTGACCTGTTAATGTTGAATCTGGCAGGCACCTGAAAGCAATGTGCTGATTGCTAGATGTATTGTCGTGCATCAAGCAATGATGATGATGCACAAGAGCCACAATGCATGATCGGTGTGTCAACAGTATGTGAGCTTCCTTTTGCAGCGAGCCAGAAAAAAAGGGAATTCGCAACATTTTAAGCTGCTTTGACATACGAGCACGCGCACACACACGCGCACACTTACACTTACACTTACACGCACACGCACACGCACACGCGCACGCGCACGCGCACGCGCACGCGCACGCACACGCACACGCACACACGCTCACACGCTCACACGCTCACACGCTCACACGCACACACGCTCACACGCTCACACGCTCACACGCACACACGCTCACCCATGCACACCCACGCACGCACGCACGCACACACACACACACACCTGTTTAAGTTCTATTCCATTACCGTCCTACTAGGCCTTTTCGTTTTACAATGAAATGATACAAGCCTATTGAGGTGAACAGAAGTTTTAACTTCTTGCCCTGTATACTGTAAAGCTTGGCTGCTATTTGGTCTTTTGATTTGGGGAAGCGTGTTTTGTTTCCAACCAGCAAAAGGGTAAGCTTTTCGCGAGCGGGGGACAATAGACATCTTGAGACGGGGTGTGGTGGCCACTTCCGTCATATGACCAAAAGGGGCAATGGCCACGCAGAGAGCGCAATTAGGGGGAGCTGCAATAGGAACACAGAGGCCAACTCAGGCCAGAATCGAAATTCCGGCAACCCAGCCGTAAAGAGAGAGGTGCGGGAATCTGCCCTTTTTGGACCGGGTTTGGATTGTGAACACATGGCCCCACTGTAAGGCACTCGCAAAGAGAAGGTTTCCCAACTCGAGAAGAAGCTTGGTTTGGTCATGCAACCCGCTGCTAATGCTATATAGTCAATTGTCAGTTTCCCCAAACAGGACACCCAAATTTAGAGGGATATAATTTGCTAAGTTCCCGATTTGTTTAGCCAGAGCCGGCCTCTTCTTCGCACTCGGAGGGGCGTTCCTGGACTTTTTCTTACCTATTCACTCCGGAAGCGAGCTCTCCGCAACTCGGTCCTTGTTATTTGAGAGTATCCTTTGAGGCTTGTTTTAAAAGGCACGCAAGAGGAACACACCAATTCAAGGTCTCCCTATGTTGGATTGATGGCTCTGTTTCCATGAACCTGGTGGATTTATTCCGCGGCAGGCGTGGCCGCGGCCTTTGCAGCGACACTGCAGCAGTTCAATGGCCAGAGCGAAGGCACGACTTGAAAGTCGCGATTTCGCCAGATGGGAGGGAGGTTCTGAAAACAGTGGTCGCCTCAAATGGGCATCTTGAGCTACCTTAGATCGGCATTCCAAACCAAAATCGATTTGCCCCTGCGTATCTCTCTCACCCAGCTCGGCTCGGTCAGGCGCCAGCTCCTGCAGTGGCCTCGTTTGCGGAGGCCGCTCTTTGCCGGGTGGAGTGGCTGACCTTGGGCTGATAAGTGCCATGCTTGAAAGACCTGCTTGCTTAGGCTAGCAGGGACGGTCATGGACCTCTTCTAGGTCTCCCAGTAGTCCCTTTTGCCCTTTTTTTGGGCAGGGCTCCCCTACTCAAATCGACTACAGAAAAAGTTGGTACCCTTATTCAATCCTCTCTACTGGAGGACCTAGTCTAGGACTTTTTGCAACTCGTTGCAGGGCGTACCGTTCTGGGCAAGGGAACCATGAACGTTGCCGATAAAAAACGACTTTTGACCATCGCCATGTTGCCGAGGACCTGCTCATGGTGCAGTTTCTTAACCGAATCGCATGGACCATTGGAGGAGGATGCAATGGGTCAAAATTCAACCAGGAATCGGACCGCAGGAATTTTAGTCCTTGTTTCTATTTACCAGAGTTCCATTTTGGAGTTACCCTATTTTTGACCCACATGGGCCTTGGGAGGAAATTTGATGAAAAGAACATGATTTGTTGCTGTTATTTTCCCCTTGTTGGGTTCAAAGGGAATCTATCACTGCTGGACATATTGTTTTTGTGCTTTTCTTTCCAGTGGGCTTAAACAAATGGAGGAGCACTTCATTTCTCGCCTTCAGCAACCTTTTGGCCATGTCAGAGCCCTTTGAGACCTGGCCACGCGTCTGGCTCTGCGTCAAAGGCCCAAGTCGATGGCAGGCAACGGCTACTGCGACGAGGACTCTCAGGGAGCTCGCTGCAAGTGCAAGGCCGCGGCCTCGGGGCTCGGGTGGGGTCGCCGAGTCGGGTGCCAAATGGTGCCCTCTGAAGGAAATGGTCGCTTTGGGGGATCGGTTCAAAGGAAAGTCATTGGAACACTTTGGAAAACCAACCATTTCCCCAGGTTCCGACTTTGACACAGACTCAAATATATGTCAAACACAACAATCAGGATCCTCCTCCAGTCGGCTGGAAAAAAGATGGAAGCCAGGAAAGCGATGTGGGCTGATTCAAAGTTGTTGGTACAGCTTTGGGCGCTTCCGGACGCCGTCATTTCCTGATTGATGGCTCATGGCCCTTGGCGCTACAGTGGATTTCCTCTCTGGTGCAAGAAGGCGAACGGAAGAGCAGGGTTTCCTTTTGCTCTTTGACCCACCCCTACCAGATAAACTCTGCTTAAATGGGCCAACAGGTGATGTTCAAAGCCACCAGGGGAAATATAGGGACCCCATGGAAAACTTGTGACTTCCTGGCACCATTCGCGAGTTGACCGTTGCAGGTGCCACTGGCCCGCATTGGCTTTCTTGCTATCGCAACGCGACTGTGACCATTTCATAAACTTGGTTCAAGTTTGACCCATGGTCAGCCATGTTATCAAAGGTTGAATAGTGTTTTTGCCAGGCATGGCGGATGGGTCAAGAAGTATACATTGCTACCAGGTTGCACGCACTCGATTGAGCCAACGAACCAGCAAGACCCCCCACCTGAGCATGCGCAGTATGGAAACAGAGTTGCTTGAGCCTTTGAGAGGCCAGAGTTCCAGTTGCCCATGTATATAGTCCCTTTTGTTCCTTGGGTTCTTCATGTAATATGAGCAACCAGCAAAAGGAAGCCGCAGGGCGATATGCAGAGCCAGTTCGGCCTTCCCAGGCTGGCTACCAGGGCGCTGGAAACTCAGATCCTGCAACGCTTGCATTGGAACCACGGGCCATTTTGAAATTGAAGCGGCCATCCAGAAGATCCTTCCGTCACGAAAGTGTTACCCTTGTAGCGGTTTCCCAATAGGGTGGCCAATCCAGCGGAGACAAGCTACAATCTTTGCATACATCTTGTTTATTAAAAGCCCGAGGAAATGATGTGATCCTCCAAAAGATGATCCCCAATGTGATGCGCATGCGGTGCTCATCTTGTAGTGCAGAATCCACATCAGGGGCAAAATTATTGGGACCATGATTCATACCGTAAGACATTGAGCCTTGACGTGCTAGATCCGGATACTTACCAAACCCCATTGAACCTCTCCAACTGCTTGGTTTTTGTGACTCCCTTCCGTTTTGCCCAGGGGTTTTGTCAGCCTGTGGTCAGTAGGAATTGCGTTAAGCCGATATGCTCACCGTGGAATGGCAGCATGTTTCGAATTTGGAATGGGTTAAGCCAACACAAATGTAATTGGATGATGAATATGATTGTATGATGTCCTGTGCGTTGTGCGTGTTTTAGCACGAGACACAATCAGAAAGCTTCCCCTGCTAAACATGCAGTTCTGTGACTGGTCCCGCATTGCGAGGCAAGTGAATTTATTACAATAATGTAGAGTTACATTGCCAGTCAGAACGTGTGCGTAATTTTAATAATCATGCCAAACTAGAAACTAAGTTCATCTAAATACTAATGCAGGTAATTTGACCCACCGTTCCTGTTGTCCTGCCGTTGTTTTTGCCTGATGACTTGCTGGCATTTGCTGGCATTGCTGCTCACGGCGAGCAGCTTGCTGCGAGACGCCTAGCGTTGCTATCAGTATAGTCTATAGTCCTGAGATGTTTGTCCGGCCTTTTCCACGCAAGGCGTCGAGCTATTCTCACCTTACAAACGCTTAAGAATGTTCGTTTCATAAGGTTTATGGGGTCACAGGACTGTTTTCACCCGTTTGGAACCCCAAGGAACCCGTTAAGAACTCCAGGCCCTCACCCCCACCACCGGCCAACCAAGCCGAGACCGGCTTCGTGTGCAACCCGGCGGCCGGCTTTGCGGAGCACCCGCTGATCTCCGCTGCAGGGGCGAAGCCTACCCAGGCGAGTGCTGGCGAGGGGAGGAGATGCCTAGCCCTGGCGTTGTCGGACTGGCCTAGCCCTGGCGTTGTCGGACTGGGCCAGGGTTTCCGAGCCATTTCCCTTGTTGGCACCTTCAAGAGTGGCGATCGTATGGAAACCACCAGAAAATGCATCCAGTGACCCCTTTTGGCTTCTCCAATTCAAGTGTTTGCCTTTGGGTTGTTTCTTGCCAGCAAAAAGGGGAACACGCGTGCTGCAAGCTGAAATGGCTCACCGAATCTGAGAGTAATGTTAGGAGTGGTACATACAATGCCGGAAACCAGCTGGATGAAGGGAGCGGAGGATCCCACCAAACCAAGGCGGGTTGTTCCCTGCCTTTGCGGGACCTCTCTTGACAATCAGTGGGCTAACTTTAGGACATATTTGTTTGGTGTTGTTCCAAGCCGAAAACCGCCTCGCCCGGCACAAAAAAATGAATTGTTGCTGTTTCGTTGCCGACTTGGGTGGAAGTCCAGAGGACGACGGCTAAATCGGGAAAGCATGCGGTGCCGCAGCGCCTCGCCTGTTGGGCGTGCTGATTTTTTTTTTTGGATGTTGCGCTGCAACTTGTGGGCTTCCAAGCGAGACACTTTCAGCTTCAGGGAGCTGCTAAGGCGAAGCTACTGATGGACGAAATCCTGCACCTCTTGGAATCCATGAGAGACCGATTGTTGGTTTTCACAGGCGAATCATCATTCCAGGGATTCTTTAGTGGTGCAGGATTTCGTCCATCTACAGTAGGTTCTGGGTGGCTCAGGTGTATAGTGTAAGGATCCCTGTTGAAACCAGAGGAACCAATTGTTTGTTCGGTATTTGCAGATAAATCATCCAGAACCAGGGTTTCTGAGCGGTGGTGCGATTTCTGGCTTTCGCAACCATCCACAGCACCTCATCTTTTGGCCCAGATGTCCACAAAGCCTTCGGTAGCAACAGCTTGGGATGCGCAGACATGTTTTCCTGAGGGGCGGTTTTTTTGGGCGTGGGAGGACTACTGGCCTGGGAGCATGTTTGTTCTCAGCCTCATTGTGCATTTTGGCCGGGAACAATCTCAAGGGAGCTGATCCGGAAAGTTTCACAGTGCAGAATTTGTTGGTTCTTTTGGTGCTCTCGTTTGCGCCATTCGCCACGGACATAGGCCATGGATTGAGTAGTAGGTATGAGTTTCAACTAGGACCGCGCTTTGGTCGACATAAGTTATATCGTCTTGGTTTATGCCCCGCACCATTCTGGTATTCCCACTGAAATTCATCGCCAAGCTGGTAAATGGAGGCATCTTGCTTGACACTGGCAGACCGGCTGGCCGACCCTGCAAATTGCGCTGGAGTCTCGAACAGAATCAAAACCACACGGGTTGGTCTGTTTTATGCCATGAGAGGGCGCCACCCCGCAGGGGTTCCCTCGTGTAGAGATAATTGATAATGTCACATGGAGATCCGCCGCCAGTCGTTCCAGTGGTAGTTACGTTCAAGGATTGTTTTCTTGTCCAAGGAACTGCGCCCCTTCCTTGCTCCCACCTAGCCTCTCAAGGAAGGTCTGAAGAGCAGGGTCAGGGTGGTTTGTCTCCACATAGCAACTAGGCGAAGCCGCGAGATGCCTGAATATAAGTGGTTTTCTCGTTTGGGTTTTCCTTCAAGACAGCCCTAAAAACCGGCAGCGTGCAGGTGGCGGACTTGCACGTTAGCAGCCTGAGCCAGGAGTCTGAGTGTAGCATTCTGTCATGGACCCCCAAAGAAAGGCTATGGGGAGGGGGTGTAACTCCTCTATTTACCCTTCACAACTCCTTATGCAGGGCATATTCTTGGCTTATCCTGGTCCTGGACTTATCCAAGCATCCCCCCCCCAAGCCCTTACCAGGGGTCCATGATTCTGAGCTGACAGGACATGCGCAGAAAGTTCCGCCGCTTCCAAACCATTGCGACTGCTGAGGTGGCAACGGTGTGGCGGTGGCCTTCAGAGATCCCTCCAGGTGCGATGTGGCTCGGGGTGGTGTGTGTGTGTGTGTGTGTGTCGTGCCAGGAGCCCAAAACAAAACAACACCATGCCTTTGTGAGTTTGTCTTTTGGCTTGTTGTTGTTGTTGTTGTTTTGGCAAAAACCCAGAAACATCATTTTTGGTTTGGCCTGCAGTTTCGGCTTGGGTGGTTGACCAGTCACTTCTGAAGAGGGCTGGCAGCGGCCTGCCATCTCAAGAATCCAATCTAGGAGTTCGGTTGCCACGGAGACAATTGATGACATACCAACTTGCTGTGACATGTGGGTGTGGCTCAAAATTCAAGAGCTAGGGTTACGCGGGTTTTAGTCTTTGGTTCCATTTGCTAAGGTGCCATTGTGGTACATTTATTTGAGCCACAGCCATGTGTCCAGCCTTCGTATTCTTTGACCCCCGCGCTCACCTTGTAGGTTCCTGTGTAGCAAACTCAATCTGCACAACCCTTCCACTCCAAGCCACTAGTTTTGTAGGTGTATGATTAATTCCACTGTCCCAACGCCAGCTATGCATGGTGGCCTTTGTGCTCCAAATATGTTCAGATTTCACATTTGGGAGTTGTAAGCATTGGGATTTTGCGTTCCATTCATGTTGTTTGAAAGTGATGTCAGAAGATTGGATCAGTCACTACCTGCAAGCACCCCCATGGCGCTGTCAAATCACATTGCAAAACGTCCATGATGAACTTGGTCGAGGAGCGGTACAGGGGCACTGAGAAAACGGATCGGGTTCCCAAAAAGCGAAGAGGGGTCAACAAGCACAACTTGCAGCACAACTGAGGACTGGCCCTGACAAGGGAGCAAACAAAAGTGGTGAATCTTCCTATTGAAGTGCACTGGAGTTGGAGTTTGTTTCTTTGAGACTATTTGGCACGGTTTTGGTCAAGGCCCAACAGTTTGGACTATTTCTGGGCCAGTCAACTCAATAGGTAAGCCTTTGGGTCTCTGGGTTTCCTCCGAGCTTCGGTGATCAATCTGCGCACCTTTCTTGGTTTTCTTCATGAAGCAGCTGGATGCTCTGAACCAACCACTTCTCTGAATGTCCCAACCACTTAGCTGTGGGTCAAAACCCGGGAAACCCCTGGTGAACATCAAACTAGGTGGCAAATGGATGTTCATCCACCCCAAAATGGAGCCATAGGTTCTGCCCCATGGCCACTTCTCTGAGTCACATGAGCAGCCGCTCTGTGAGGCGGAACCGGGGCTTTGTAGTGCTGGGTACTGCACTCGATGGGGGCATGCGCCCGGGCACCTGCGTCGTTTTGACTTCTTGCAGCTCTGGAGCGAGCCCATTTCAACCACGGAAACGTGCCCCCCCCCCCCCCCCCCCAAGAAAAGCCCAAAGTTCAACAGCTGGGTTGTTCAAAGTCGATCATGGTGGTAGACATGAGCTTTGAGCTTGCCACTTTCTCTGAGGCCGAGCGAACTGCCTTGAAACATGGGGCTTGCCTCCGAAGATGGAGAACTTTGAGACCACCGATGGTCTACCAGGTTTGTCTCCTAGCCTAGGTCCCCCAGTGGTGCCCTTTCACCGTTTCTTTTTTGGGGGAGGGTTCTTGTACTAAAATATACAGAAAAAAGGGTACCCTTATTCTAACCTCTCTACTGGAGGACCTAGTAGCGCCGTTTTCCAGGTGGTGGGTGTCTGAGACTCTTTCGAGACTGCCAAGGGCTAGCGAGGTCAGTTGGGTTGTTGGCCTCCTTGATGCAGGAAAGCCGGCCATGCTAGGAGAACAGCCATTGGGAACAGTCCTTTGTTTTGACATATTCCCCTGGCGTACCAGCAAAGGACACAACATGAATGTTTCAACCCTTCGCGGGTTAAAGCCAAATTCAATGGTTTTGAGGCAGCTACTCGCATGGTCGTGTGATACAAGCTCAAATCCGTTGTTGCTTCCTCACTCCTGTGGAGATTCACAAAGGTTGCCTGCACGAATACCTCATTCAGAGCTGTTATATCGTTGAGAGTTTGCCTAGGGAGTAATGCCGACCCCAAATGAATCAACCCGTCGGAATTTTTGAGGGGCGTTGGCCTGACAACGGATTCATCCCTTCTTCCTATTCATGCATGCAACCTGCTAATGAACGTTGTTTTGTCCAGACCTCACAAGACACAGTTATAGTCATAGTTAGCTAAACCAGCTGTATACCAGCAAGTGTCCGCGGGGGGCGAGCGGGGGAGGAGAGGGGGGCCTTGTTTCTTACACGAATCGATTAGAATGGGACACCCCGATTCACGTTCCAATCAGAACCTTGGGCATGTGACAAAACGGGTCGGTTCCACACGTCCGGGGTACAATGGTGTGTCTGTTTTACTTGCTGGTGCGATAAGCAGGGAACGATGGAATGAACCTAGGGATTCCCTTGAAGGAACCACGGGGGGCTCGTTTATAGGGGTCATTCCCCTCATTCTTTGCCTATCGCACCTGCAAGTTTGGGGTACCCCCATACTGTGGATGGACGAAATCCTGCACCACTTTGAAAGAAGGGAAACCATTGTTGGTTGGTATTTATAGGGGAATGAATCATCATTCCAGGGTTTGGTAGGTGGTGCGAAATGCATTTTGTCCATCCGCAGTAGCAGTTTTTTCCGTCGCCGCCGGTTTCGGGTCCCCTTTCGCCTTGAGGCTGGAGCGCGCCGGCTCTGATCAGCGCTTCGCTGATGCCCCAGCGGTTGCGATTTTCCGTGCTTTGAAGTGTTTGCCAGGTTTCTAGAGCTACTGTGGATGGACGAAATCCAATTCGCACCCAAAAATCCCTGGAATGATGATTCCCCTATAAATACCAACCAACAATGGTTTCCCATGGTTTCAAAGTGGTGCAGGATTTCGTTCATCCACAGTAGGGGTCTCCAGAACCAGGTCTCATCTTTTCTGAAGGTTTCCCCAACGGTCACCCCATGTAGAGGATCTTTTGATCAACTCCCCATGTTTCTCTGTTTGCCGGCTTTAAGCATCATTTGGCAAAAAATCGAGTGAGATTCCTTTGGTTTGTTGATGAACTCAATAATTGTACTTGATTCCTAGGTTTGCAGTTGAATGCTGACCAAGTTTAAAGGGGGACGTAGTCAACCCTATGCCAACATGGAACCTGACCATGCTTTCTGGAAGACCATGTTCGTCTAAAAGGGACCCTGGTGTCTGGTGGGTTCCATATTGCTGCCAGGGTAAGGATTGGCACTCGGGATGCGAAACCCAAGGTTGATGCGAACCACAAATCGATCAGGATATCCACCATATTATTGGTCCTTTGATTGTTCTGGTAGGTGCCTTTCACGCCACGCTTTACGTACAACCTGCTGAAAGAGGCATCACGTAGGATCCCTTTTGCCCGACAAGCTTTGAGAACCTTTGACCATCACCCCTTCTTGGAAGCATCCCTCCGCACGGCTGAGGGGTGACTTTTCTGTTTTGTTTGCCCTATTGCTCGCGAATTGGCATTTCTTGAGTTCCCCCCCAGTTCCCACACAGATCCCATTTCGCTAGGATGCCCTTTATCCGATAACTTTATCCTGCATGTGCTGGTATTGCGGTAGACCCTCTCGCCCAGCTTGTGGCCGTTGTACGTTTGACTCACCCCAGCCACCACCTCCAGTCGCGTCTTGTCGCTTCAGACAGGTGTTGCGGTGTTTTGAATGCAATCAGTGATGATTGGCGATATTGGCGACGCTTTGGGACGGCAGCTGTTGATTGTGGCTTGCTTGGTAGATTTACGAGTTGGGTGATGTTGGTTTGCTTAATTAGCTCGGTAGACGTTGGTGGTTGGCTTATGAACGTTTGGGAATCCTTTGGGTTGCACCTTTGGTCTGTTGTCTGTGCTCCTTGGGTGGAAGGCGACTCGCCTGGGATTGGATGCACGACTTTGCACTTCGGTATGGAAGCCACGCGGCCTGACCATACCGGGCTCTCATGACAACCTTTTGGTCATGGCCCGAGCGGTCTATTTTTTTTGGATAGGATCCTTGCATAAATGAATAAACGTTTTCTAATAGGGGGTGTCACCCACAAACGTCAATAATTCCCAGTGAAACGGGACTGCCTCCTATGAATCAACCAGTGGTTTCTTAATTCGGAGTTAACAGCCTCCATTGCGTAAGCCCCCTGAGAAAATGCGGATATGTCGAGTAGCGAAAGGCTGCCTTTAAAACTAAATTGGAAAATAACACATATCCAGGGTTGACATTAGTGGGGCCGGTCGGATGCTAAGCGTGGCAACTCGGTTGCCACTGCATCCATTATAATTGCATTTGAGGATTCTTGAATTTTCCTTTGGGGTCATTTTCCACCACTGTGTGAGAGATGGGGATCCCATGACTGATCTACAACATTGTACGAGAGCCATAAGCTAGAGCTTTTGCTTTTGGGTTTGTCTTAAGATAGGGGAGCCCCGAAAATGCGTCGGTTTCCCGGCTATTTTCCTTAAAAGCACATCCAACAAGGACACTCTCAGCAAACAAGCGCCGCGTGGGTTTGCCGGTGAATTCCCTTTAAAGCCCTCCAAAAACGGAGAATTACCCTGAGCCAGATGGTCTTTCCCGGTGCTTCCCCTAAGCCATCCAAGCAATGGATACCGGTACCCCGCAGCTGGACCTTTGGACGTGGGGCGTGGGACGCGGGACGCGGTTCCGAGGTCTCCGGTCTTCGGGCCGGTGCTCGTGGAGCTGGTCGGGGCGCCATGGGAAGTTCTGCCTGTGGCTATCTGACTTCCTGAGTTCATGAACTTTAAACTTTTTGGGAAGACCATTTTAGTGGTAAATACAAAGTTTGGACTTTTTTTGGGCCATCCACTCAGCCAGTGAGCTATCCGTTTCGGGGGAATCTTACTTGGGATTAGCAAAGGACCTCCTCAAGCGGGTTGTTCGAACACCTTTAGTTACGAGAAACCTGGGTTCGACCCGGGAATCAGCATGCCAGGGTTTCGTAGGTGGTGCGAAATGGATTTCGTCCATCCACAGTATGGCTCACCGTTTCGGGTGTGTAGAACGAGCGAAAGCGATGAGAAGGTCCTGAAACTGGGGATCTTTGGAAGCTGGATTCATGTAGCTGACCGCACACGCGGCTATACGAGGCTCATCCGAAAGGAAAGGAAAGAAAAGGGATCTTTGGAATTTGTTGTAATAAACGGAAAATGGAACGGATATAGCTTATAGTTCACCAGACCATTGTTGTAAGAGCCCTGTAGTTACTAGCCATTCAGCTAGCTCCCAGACCATTTGCACAAGTACTTCTGGACACACTACAGCAAGTTTACCGATCGGGGGGGGGAGTGGGGGGAATGAGCGATTGGCCCATCCTTCTTTTCAGTTTAGGAGTTGTAGTATTTGCCCAGCTACTTGCATGAACAAGGGAAACCCTGTGTTTTCTTGCAATTGGCTGGGTTGCTGGAGATGGCCGAAAAGGTGGTGATTAGTTGTGGGACAACTCGCAAATTCACCCGGAAGCTCAATCGGGATCCCCCAACAGCAGACTCTTTCGACAACACCTACTTTGCTTTTTGGGAGATCCAGACATCACCTTTTTGGTCGCCAATGTTGACAGACTCGTCTCTTGGCTTGGCGACGTTTCAAGAGGGCGTAGAACAGAATGCGCCCTGTGAAGTGAAGGGAGATAGTCATGCTTCATTGAGTTGTCGAGCTTTGAGTATCTTGAAACTTTGGTTGGTCGGTTTCTTCGTCGCTTCAGTCAATGCCGGGAAAGTGTCAACTCTGTTCCGGCCAGTAAACTCAGCTGAGCTGAGTCGCAAACATGGCTGGGGCCACTTTTGGGTGGGGGTGCCTAGACAAAGGCACCCACAGGTTGACTTGGGCCTCGAGGCTGTTTGGCAAAGCAAATGTATGAATTGAATACCAGGACCCCTGTGGAAGACTTCCACAGAGGCCTTGTCGGAGCTTCCACGTTAGTCTGAGGGAGTGTAGCTGGGGAATCCGTTTTCTTGGACCATATCACAGTGATGTTTACAAGCCCAGAGTTGCTATATGCTGACGCGACTTGAGAGGCAATGTGTTGTTATTCCCACTGATTTGGGTGACTTCCAATTTGGGAGCCCCGAAAAGACGGGTTGCTCCCAGGTGGTTTCCGTTTAAACAGCCTCGAAAGTCGGTGCACCCAACCGGAATCCAAGGACCAAGCTGGCGGACTGGCGGTGGCCTACAGGACGTGCGTTTGCACAAAGCAGGGGGGTTCTTCTGGCCCTTTTTTTTCTGCGAGAAAATGGGCGACCATCCTTTAAAAAAAAAAAATCCTTCACTGCGGGGTCGATCAATGTTCCACAAAAGGTGGCAAAAATAACCCTTCCCCCCCGGCGCGAAAAGTGTGCCTTCTGCTAGCTTTGGGTTCTTGCGAGAAGTAGGGAAAATGACCGTTCCTGGTGTTCGGAATGAAGCGGTTTTGGGGAGAGGCATTGGGGGCATTCCAACTCATTCCCTGGGAGCAAGCAAGCTCAAGGTGAATGCCCGCAGATTGGCAGGTATGGCGGAATGAGCATCCGTTTGTTTACTCAGGTAGGCTGGTATATATATATATATATGTATATATGTATCCTTGCAATAGTGAGGGAATAAACCCAGCCCACATGACTGAGCCGGAGCAATTTCGGGGGGACCCCCCTTGCTTGTATTTGAAGAGAGACCCTCATTTTGATGAGACCTCTAAGATGGAGTAGAGCACATGTGCAAGAGTGCCTCGCGGGCAGATGGAATCACATAGCTGATCTTGGATAAAATTTGGACTTTGATGTCATGGTAAAGCCGTAAGGTCCTAAACAAGGCCATGGTAGGAAGCGGATTCTTGCTCGATCTTGTTGGGAAACTGCACTCGTGTACCGGTGGCTCGCAGCAGAGACTAGCAGACCCTCAGAGGAGAGTTCATGAGGCACCTGATTGGGTATACACACCATTTTTAGCCTTACTGGGGTACATGGCTGTGGGGGATTGGGATGTGCACTGGGGGTACGATTTGGATTTTGACCCATGGCCACATATGAATGCGGGAGTGCTGTTTGCAAGAGACTACCTCCCTCGGCATGTTCTTTCTTGAGCCAGTACGTAGCTGAGTGGCTCTGAGGTGTGAAAGCTAAGGCCATGGTTTGATCTAAAGCAGAAGGAGCCGGCGGATGCCTTGAGATGGTCATGGGCCGTCATGGGACTTGTCGCGGGATCGATCAGGTGTTGCGAAGGCCAATGTATCCCTGAGGTCTCGTGGGTTTGTCCCACGCACCCCCGAAAATTGGCTGGCTGGCCTTTGGTATCATTCTTAACCAAGCCCTTTTAAAAGGCTACCCTTCAAACACAAATCCCAGAACCCCGAAAATGTCCCTTCCTTAAAAGTAACAAGTCCCATGTGCATGTCGGGCAGGACCAAGGACCGTGGTGGCGACGGGATGCTTCTGTGCGGAAGGCGCGCGAAACTCGAAGATTCGAGCGACGCTGGGCCCTGCTGAGCGCGTGGGAGGCTCTGGTCACAATTCAAAGCGCATGCCGTTTGGACGACCTTTCACCTTATGACTTTGGGGAACACGAACATGTTTTCACCTGCCATTTGCTTAAGAATGTTGTGGCGAACAAGTCACTAATGTACATCCACAAGCCAGCAACCGTTTGTTTTGTTTTTCTTCCGGAGTCGACTCCGCCACGCCAGCGTGGCGCGATGACCTCCTGCACTTTTTTTGTTGCAAGCCCTATTTTTCAGGTTTGTGTTGCAAGGCTAGACCGCCATTCATTTTGGGGGCCCTGGTCAATTTTCTCAATGCACCTCAGACTTCAGACACGATGTTCCAGCCAGATGGTTCTTTCATGTTGTGTGTTCTTGTCGGAGTCAAGGGGCAGACATTCCAGGGACGCGGGTCAGGTAGAGCGGCATTCTGAGTGGTTGATCACAACCTCAGGGCATTGGGAATCAACTTGCTGATGCTCAGCCGGGAATGAGGGAATGACCCTTTTTTGGTCATCCAACTGGTGTCCTTTCAGGGGACCCCTGGCTTTAGAGCCCTACAGTTGCTCGGTAGCCGAAAGGAGTCTTTGCATTTTGGGTGTTCATTCCCACATTCCCGAGAGACTCTTATAAACCATCCCTTGCGGTTTCCTTTAAAGGAATCCCCAGGTTCATTCCCGACACCCGGAACGGTCATTTCCTACTTATCGCACCAGGTCAATCGCTCGACTAGGTCCCCCAGTGCCCTTTCTCACGCCTTTTTTTGGTTGGGAGGATTCCCCCACTAGAATAGACTACAGAAAAACATCGGGTACCAACTTATTCTATCCTCTCAAGTCTGGAGGACCAATTCAGCAGTTCGCTCGAGCCCCACCTGTTGCTTCTTCTGCCAGGCGTGATGCGGAGAACCGGGTGCAGCTGGGCCCAGCACGCGTCTTCAGCCACTACCAGGCCGACGGAGGGAGGGATTTGCCGCCAGAGCGTTTAGTGTTCATATAGGAATGGATTGCCCAAGTGCAGATTACTCTATAATTATTATGTATATATATATAATATATATATGTATATATATATATATATATATATTTGTTAGATACCCAATGATTAGCTTGACTGAATATCCAAGAATCGATTCTCCAAGTATGTCTCCCTCCTGAGAGCTGCCAGTGCCACAGTAGTGCCACTGTCCTTCTCTCTCTCTCTTTTTTGTTAATACACACAATGATTGGCTCGACTGATACCCAAGAATCGATTCCCCGAGTATGTTTCCCTCCTGAGAGCTGCCAGTGCCACTCTCTCTCTCTCTCTCTAGTATGTATATATATATATGTATATATATATATATCTATATATCTATATATATATATATATGTGCTTGTTATATACACAATGATTAGCTCGACTGAATATCCAAGAATCGATTCCCCAAGCATGTGTCCCTCCTGAGAGCTGCCAGTGCCATCGGGAGTTCTAAGCTTTGGCTTTACTTTGCCTGACTGAACATGCCACCCCTTCTTTACCAACCTCCGGGCTGTGCCTCTGTCAGAGATTATCAAGGCCTCAGTCCTGATGATTCCACAGCTTACCCAATCTTGTGATTGCTATGTATATACATGTATACATGGGTTTGTGCGTTTGTGTGTTATGCGTGCATTTTTTTAAGACTCGTAGCTAGCTTGTATCCGCCCAGCCTTCAACTCTGGTCACTTGAGCTACCTCTTTCAGATAGTTATGGTTGTAGGAGTGCAAGCCATGCATTGGTGTTCCTGCCATGTCTCAACATATCAAACACACATTAAGATGTAGCACATGGGCGGATGGTGCACATTGTAGGGTAAAGTTTAGTATTCATTTTACAGGATGTGCACATGGTGCACCTTGTCATCTCACTGGTAAACATTGCGGACACAGGTCCAATCCTACCACTTTGGCTTTAACATAGGCGAATTAGACAGCCATTGACCCGGACTTGATGAAGGCCATTCTGAATCGAGACACCGATTTTGGAAGAACTTGATAGCTGGCTGCTGCCAGCAGCTATCAGGGATCCCAACAGATCCGTGCACTATTTTACCCTGTTTGTTTCTTGGAACCAGTTCTTTTGTAGGCTTCAAGCGGATTCACCACAGCAAACCAGGTCCTTCGATCACATCCCCCGTTCCTCGGACATCTCATGTCCTCGCTGATAGGCGCAGGCCATGACTCTGATTGCTTTGCCGGGCGCCCGGAGTTGGGCCGAGAGTTCCTCGGACCGTGTGGATGGTTGCGAAATCCGGAAATCGCACCACTTTGAAACCAGGAGAAATCGTTGTTTGTTTGGCATTTGCGGGGGATTCCGCCATGATTCCCTATGATATTTTCGGAAACCCCATGATGACTCCCCAACGTAAATACCAACAAACGTTATGGTTTCAACCATGGTTTCAAAGTGGTGCGAAATGGATTTCGTCCGTCCGCAGTATGTGTCTCGAAGCTAGTTGGTCCTTTGCAGAGCCGTACTATAGCCCTGTGTGTCACCTTGTCTGGCCGTCCATGGTGGTGTCCCTAAATCCAACCTAGTACGGAATAGTTTGGTTGACCTATACCCCCGTGTGTCACCTTATGTGGTTGATCCTTTTTGCCACCATATATCAAGCCTTGTACGCTAAAACTTGGTTATCCCAAGCCCCTTTTGTGTCATCTAGGAGGCTTGTCTGCAACTTCCGCAGTGAATGGTCCATTCGGACGTGGGGGGAACTCACGAAATCCCTTCAGGGGAAAAGAAGGGACCACTAAATTCCTCAAACCCTAGGACGAGCCCCAAATTGGACCAGACAATTCCCGAAACCAGGGGAAGCTCCATCTCCTTCTGGGATCGATCAAAGGGCCAAGATGCGAGGCCTCAGAACCGCGTGGCGGTGCTCTTTTCGGAGCATCAGCCCGTGACTGGGGCGGAGGCCGCCAGAACAGAGGGACTTGGGGACCTGGCTGTGGAGGGAAACGAAAGGGAACGCCACATGTCTTTTCATGGAAGATGGGACTTCTTTTTTTTCAGTGTTAAGCAGGATGTCGTCGGCCAATGATATGATATTCTATCACTGGACATGTGTTTTCGGGGAGCAAATGGCAGTGATCAGCGGTTCATCTCTCTTGGTTTCTGACTATCTGCTTTGCCAGGCGCAGTGGGCGGGAAGCTGAGAACATCGGTCGCGTCTGCTTTTTGGATCTTCAACCTCTGTTTTTGTTGGAAAGAAAGTCTATATCCCACAAACCAGCAAGGTTTCATCTTAAACCTCATTTGTTGGAAAGTTGGTGTATGTCCCACAAACCAGCGATAGTTAAACGGTTGTGTTTTGCTCAACAGAGTTGATTATTTAACATGATCAACTCAGGGACACGAGAAGCCTCTTTTAGATGTTTGCCGTTCACCAACGGCAGGTCACTTCGCTTGCGTTTCATTTTTTTTGCAAGTACAAATACCCCTGGTTGATGCAGACTCGATGCTCCCTTTGGCGCGTCGTTATCGACCCCATGCTCCCCTTGCCTGCGGGGAGTTGGCAAACCCCAAAAGGAGGGAAGGTGCAAACAAAGAGAGTAACGAGTACTGAAAGAAGTGAGTCACATTTTTGCTTGTTGGGCTGGTCTTGCGATCTGGGGGAATCTTCGCAAACTTTCGGCAGCCAGCTTTTGGTTCGCGAAGCCTCGGATGTCTGCCGTGACTGCGGATATGACAAAGTCCAGGAAGCTTGGTGCCCCAACGAGGCTAATGCTCGCCCTCCCCCTTTGCTCGGACAATGTGGGATCATTGATGACTTGATGTCGGATTGTGTTGTAACCTTGAGCCTTAATCCTTTTTGGTTTGGCAAGGAAAGGCAGCCCAACAGTTGATGAAGTGATTGCTTCACGCTTGGGCAACAAACCACACCAAGCTCTTCTTAGGCCGTATGACCTGTCAAGCTATCAATCATGATACCAACATCAAACATGAATAAACATGGTTCGGTTGACCCCGGAATTTTATGACCCGCACATCCTTGCAGAGAAGAAGCGTCCTTGCAAACAATCGCGTTCCCACATTTAGATTCCCAGTTGAACTAAGCTAGGATACGTCATTGCAGTTATATTGTTGTCTTCTCGACTCCTCCACAAGACAAGCAAGCTAGGTAATCCTGGAGTAAACTAGTTCGACAATGATACACAAACACCATGACAACGCTAGAAACAACGCAGCAGCAACAGACTTAGGAAAATGTTTGACCACCATGTGCGTGCAATGTCTCGAAGTGCTGTTAAATTCCGTTTCAGTCCTTTCAAGGGGTGTCGGGGCACTGTGCTATTTACAATTACAACTCGCCAGTTTCATCGTCAAACCACGGATGACATACCCACATGCTGGATCGCCGACTTTACCGCCGCATCCACCGTGCTCACGATAATCAAGCGCCTGAATCTGCCGCTCTCAATCGGACTTGACTGTATGCTTTGCTTAGGTGGTGAACCATGTATTCAATGTGCAACTCTCAATACTTGCCTCCTTGAACTCCGAGTGATGAGTGCAATCTGGGCAGATTACTACTACCTCAATAATGACCAACAAAAGGATCAAGATCACTTTTTGGGGATCGCATGATTGATTCGTGACAACACATCAACCGCATGACAATGAGTCTATACTGCCGTTGTTTGTTGCACTTCAGGGTGCACAAAGGAGCAGAGATTTGGCGAGTGCTACAAACAGTTGCCAGGCAGACAGAAGTATCAGATTCTGCAGGCTAAAGAATCTCTACTGAAGCACGGGGCGCAATGAACCGACTGGATCCCTGCGGTTTGGCAGGATCTTGCTTTTGCATGTGACAGAACTCTGGACTCTGCACGGACACGCGTCATGTCAAAACAGGCAGGGATCATGGGTACCCAAAAGGTTCCCTTTTCCCGTTAAAGCAACATGAAAGGCTACCTTCCAACAGCATAAGATGCGGATGGCTCAGTCATCCGGCGCCCAGGAACACTTTGGCACGTCCCTCCTTGCAGAGATGTCAGATTCGACTCTTGGATGCTGAAGTCCACTTGAGCCACAATCAAAACCCGGGTAGATGAAGGTTAGTAAGGGACAATCCCAACCACAAATAGCAGCGGCCACCTTCTTGATTCTTTACATGGTTCTGGGTAGACCATTTTTATACCGGGTTTTGAGTATGACTCATTTGTTGGTTTCTCAAGGAACTGCAGAGTCTGGCTGGAGCCCAGGAGCCAGGGCAGCCAGGGATACTTGCCACCCCTATGATATCGGAAGCCAAAGAAACCCAATTGCCCCTTACCATCGTTGGGCGTTGTAGCCGACACCATGGCACGCCAGAACCAACTGCTTCATTCACAACCGCTTGGAAGAGCCAAGGCGTTGTTAGACACATATGGCGCTTGTTTCATGTCAAGTCGGATCCTTTGTCCGGCTTTAGATGGGTTGCTGCAACGCTGAGCTAGATGTTCATGAACGAGGCCACTGCGAACTCAGCTTCTTGGTTAAGTGCGCCAAGTAGCAAGGGCAATAGCCATCCGGCCTGGCATCATATTGACAGCCAGTGTGACGACTTAGCGTCAGATAGATGCAAGCTGCTCAAAGAACAAGAAAGGCATATTTGAGTGTGCCCCCTGTAGCGTCCCTTTCGATTTCTTTTTGGCTACTGGCAACCTTTCCAGGTTACCTCAAAGGGTCACCCAAAGGAAAGCAAACATTGTGGGGTGCCTCTGTTTTGACACATACTACGCATCTGCCAATGATCGCTACCAGACGTGGGGCAAACATGTAGCAACCATATGCCTCGCATGCCCAGCGCGCTGAGGAAAGACGCGATGGCGCGGGCCTTGGAGAGCGGAGGACGGTCGGACTTAGGACTCTCCAGCTATCAGCGGAACAGTCGCCTCACTTGCCGGGGATTTTGAAATGGTCAAGATTCGTTTGGGCATCTCTGGAAGCACTGTTTGGAAACTTGTGTGCTTCCATGCTTGCAGGGCAGGTACATGTTAGAAAGCCCCGGCCAAGCAGGGCACCGCAGGGCGATTTTTCTGTAAATATGAGCAAACTGTAGACTCCTCAGTAGCTGGGGATTTGCGACCTCACCCTTGATCAAGGTTCGTTTAGGCATTGCTTATGTTGGGGCACCACCAGACTTACAACCGCTGACACTTCGGCAGACGCGGCTCAGGGTAAGCGCAGGAGTGGTTTGAACCATGGACGAAATCATGCACCGACTAAGAAGCCCAATACCGACACACGAAAGGTTCAGCCCTGGTTTTAACATGGTTCGAACTGGATTTTGTCCTGAATCAGGGGCAGGGCGCGGGGCTGAATTAAAACAACCAGCGCATGTCTACTTTAGGGGGTTGTTTGAACCATAGGTCTTTAAGCATAGGGTCTTTGTTTGAACCATGTGGATGGACGGAATCCTGCACCACCTAAGAAGCCCTGGCATGATGATTCGCCTGTGAAAACCGACAAACAACGGTTTCCCATGGTTTCCAAGCGGTGCAGGATTTTGTCGACCCACAGTAGGTCTTACAATAGGCTGTGACTCGCCCCCCGCCTCAGATGCCAAAGCTGCTGGGCAAGTACCACTTCGCCAAGGGCGCAGTGACCCGCATCACTGCGGCGCCCTTGTCGCCCCTCGGCGGCTTTTTTTTTCTGGAAACCGAGCCGGGGGTCAGAAGTTTGATGTGAACTTCCAGAAGTTGGGGGTGGACTTGGCCTGCCCACTTTGCTGAACCCAGTCGTCTTTTTTTTAACAAATGGCAGTGGGTCAAAACCAATGGTACCATTTTGGGGTAGGTGCACCACCCATTTTAGTCTATTTCAGTGGGGATTGGGATGTTTATTGGGGGTACGGGCTTTTGACCCATGGTTAAATGGCACTGGAAGTTTGAGAGTCTTTGGTAAATCCAGTCGAACTTTTCCCTCCGGCGGGAGTTTCTTCGCCACGATCGCTAAACCATGACAGGGGCAGAGAGATTTGCGCAGAAACTCACAGACGTGAATTGGCGGACAGTAGGGAGCTTCAAGCGAATTTAGTACTCCTTGGCTCAAGCAGGTGAGCCACAATCAAAACCCGGGTAGATGAAGGTAAGGGACAATCCCAACCATACATAGCAGCGGATATCCGCCTTCTTAATCTTTGAAGCATGGTTCTGGGTCGACCATTTTAGTACCGAATCGGTTTTGAGCAAGTGACTCATGCTTCTCCGAAATGGCACAGAGAACCGGCAATGTTGAGTTTCGTGCGCGTCTGGTGTCCTTTTTGGTTGTTTTGCTAGAAAAATAGATGGCCCTGGTTTACCTGGTGGTTTCATCATCTACCAGGCCTAAAAGGACACCTATGTTCGTGCGCGTCTGGTGTTGAATGCCGCAAGGTCGAAGACATTTGCGATTGCATTCCGACAAAGCCGAGAGTCCGCTGCGTGCCGTGCTCAGTCTGCGCAGTTGTCAGGCTGATGGGCGGCACTGTTTGGCCGAGGGTGCGTCACATGTAATACTTGGAGCAAAGCCCTTGATGGAATGAACAAAACTGGGATTGTGGTTTGGAAGCCAGGATCTTAGACATGAGTTACAATGAGGGTTCTCAACAAAAGATTGCAATCTTGGGTTTGTGTGTGTGTGTGTGAGAGTCTATTATGTTGTAAGTTCCAAACCCTTGCAGACAGCCTGAACACGACAAGGTTGTCTCCACGTTGTGGTTTCGTCAGCGCCCAGGAACCGACAACATGTCATGTGAAAGTAGGGAACGAAGCAGATCATGTGAGAAGCAATGGTCTTGTATTTTTTTTGTGTGTGTGTGTTATATGGGGGGTTGATCAATATTCCAAATGACCATGGGTAACTTTTCCCATTTAGTGGGAAATATCATCTTTTGGGGGGTGTTCCCCAATGGTCATGCCATGTATCACGGACCTTTTGATCATTTGATCAACCCCCCTATATATCGGCGGCAGAGATGTTTCTCCGGCTCTCGTGAGAGCGGGCTTCGAACGGAGGTACCGAGAGGCCAGCGTCTCCTTGGCCAGTGGCTCAGGGCGAAAGTGACTGACGAGTGGGGCCATGGGGTACACCTCGTGCAGGCTCCCGACATCGTTTGCCTGATCCCCACCCCTTAACTATTGCAATTCGAGGGTGCGGAAAATGGAGTTTCCTTTTCTAATTCCATTTATCGAGTACAAACAGCATGCAGAACTCAGCCCCCACTAGTTAAGGGGTGGGAATTTGGCCTGTCTTTTACCTTTCGGGACTTTCCCCATTCTCCCCCTTTCCGCGAAGAGAATCCACAGAAAGTGTGTGGCAGGTCTGAGTCTGGCGCAGGCAGAATGAGAAACGAAGGCATTGCTCGCTTGGCTTTTCAGAGCGGTCCACTGGCGTAGATGACCTGTTACAATGTTGGAGTTACTGAGCAGGCTGCCCCCCTCGTGTTAGTTCGAGACTCCCTTAGGCCTTATGCGCATTCTGACTATATAAGGAACAACAGCAACATGTGTTACTGCTAGCTTTGTGTAAGTGTAGTATAAGCCACATATTGTGTACAGACGCTGTGCCACGTTTGCTCCGAGAATCATTGCTGGGCGTCCGGGACACGCACAAGCAGGTTCAGCAGTTGAAGACGCAGACACGCAACGAGTGCACTATTGAGGTTAGCTGGGTGGTTCCAAGCCAATTCTTAATCATCATGCCGATGGTGGTGGTTTTCCTTGTTGTAGTAGTGGCGTCCACTATGGATTTTGATTGCGCACTTCCCATGTTGACCAAGAATCAGAACATTATGTGTGTTCACCCGAGTATCCAACTGGCCCCAGTTGCACCTAAAAAGCGGCTGGGAACTTGGAGCGGGCTTTTTGAACCCCGCGTGAGTCAGTGCCAGCAGAGCAGAAGTGCCCTGTTCAGACCAATGTGGTTGTTCCAATGTGGGGCTTCCGCTTTGGGGACCTTTCCGGGATGAAACCGAAGCCCCAAGACTGGGCTCCACCATGAGACCAACCGTTTGGATGTGTGTCCTTGCGTATGTCGAAGCCATTTGGAAGTACTGGGTCAGTGTCCATCAGGAATACCAACCACATAGCATGATAGTGATAGTGTTTAGTGCAACTGGGCAAACAATTTTCAGATATTCTTGGCCTGTCTAGCTCTACCACGAGGGCTTGGTTCCCCGCAAAGGTGCCTTGACTGAGAGAGTACGTCCTTGCCACAAACACGTTCAAGGGTTGCCCATGTAATCATCCTCCATCATTTTGAACATCTCAACACCAACAGCCTTTGCCAGACCTTCTGTACAAGCACCAAAGTGGTGGGAGAAATTGGCCCCCTTGATTTCTTGGACGATGCGGATGAAGGCTGGCAACGTGGGCAGAAGACTACAACTCCCGGCTTGATCATATATATATATATATCATGTGATGGAGTTCATTTGTTGACCTTCTGTTTAGCAGAATATTCATCCAAAGCCGTGTTTCCCCGAGCTCTGTCTCTGGCGATCGGATGTGAAGCCAAGCCATCCCCATCTTGCAACACCAGCAACGCGGCACCCCGTTTCTGTGGCCCGCCCGCACGATCTTTGTGAATGGAACCAGCGACTGCGCGGCCTGGTTTGTTCAACACGAAAGGCAATTCAGAAGATCTACCTTTGTGCTTGTAAAGCCGAAGATAGAAGCTGGGATGCTAAAAAGCCCAGAGAGTTGGCCCTGGCTTGATGCTGGCAGGATATGTGCTCGATGGTGTTGAAGGCAACTATTGAAACCTTGTCATTTTGGAAGACCTAAGCTTTTCGGATTCCACGCTTGTCTGACAAGAACGGAAAGCTTTGCCTCAGAGCCGTTTAGGGGGTCCATGGCATGCACTGGTCGGTCCATGCATTGGTCACCCCTCAAGGCCTCACAGGCTGTATCTTCTAAGCTCATTCTTTGAACATGTTGGGTAAAGTAGATGGAGCACCTCCCCCAGGTTGATTTAGCATCAATCCTTTTTTTCCTTCCAGCACAAAGGAACATGTGCCATCTACCTTCAGCTTGGTGTAAGGGCGTATGTCTGGAACTTATCCTTTAAGCTCCTGAGTTCGACTACCTCCCCCGGCCCCCAACCCCCCCCCCACCCCCTATCACCTTCCCCCACCCTCTCCCCCCACCACCTCACACCCCCCCCGCCTCCCCCGCCATGTTTCTCAAGTCGGCTCAGGCAGAGCTGTGGGGCACTGAGCTGGTGTTCACCACCTCGCCCACCTCCCTGGAGCCCGGGGCTCCAGCCGCTACAAGTCTGGGGGCAAAATCGCATGGGTTTGTTTTGGTATTCACAGGGAAACCACAAGGGGATGGGTACGTGTTCAATGCTTTCCACCGAAAAAGCTTATCCCTTTGTATATAGATGTTGGTCGAACTGCTTGCCATGCTTTGCAACTATGTGTGTGTGTGTGTTGCCATTGTTGCATTGCCGCGACTTCGCGCAATCGCCCGAACATCTTTTGCCAGTGAAGCCAGACTCAAAACCCGGGTAAGTGAAGGTTAGTAAGGGAAAGTCCCAGCCAGAATTAGTTGCAGTCGCCTTTGTAGTTTTTTTTTTTGGTTTGGGTACACCATTGTAATACCCATCGGTTTGGAATTTGTGTCTCCGTTGATCTGAACATCTTTCGCCAGTTGATGTTGGGTCTAAAAACCGCTCCAGAGGTTTTGCGGGACCACGCCGGTGGATGTGTTTCAACATTGGGGCCGTTTTTGTTTTTTCCGCTTGGCTCACAGGAAGGTTTTCCCCTGACGAGCTGAGGCCTGGCAGAGGTCAGATTTGGGCGCGGTCTGTGGCAGGGCTTGGGGACGGCGCCGGGGGCTCAATGGGCAACTGGAGGTTTCTGATGCTACATGTTGTTATTAAGGAGAATGCACTAATGCCAGTTTTGCGAAGTCCTACTATTGAGACAGACTTGTTTTTGAAAGATTTATTAAGCAATTGTGAAACTTCAGACGGTCGATTGATTGCTCCGATCCGGTTGCCCCGAGCCTCTGAACAAACAATCAAACCACCCAATAACAAGACAGTTTGGTTGGTTGAAGCCTCTGAAAAAGCAAGCAAACAACCACAAAACAATACAGTTGGTTGAAAGACCATCAAAACACCAAACAACATCCGGCACAAGCACCCCCTTCCCCCCCAAGCTATGGCTTTTTCAACCATGAGCAGAAAAAAACAGTTGAAGCAATTCCCTTTGTCTTTCCAATCGGGGGCCAAAGTTCTACCCTCGTGCTATTGGAGCAACCCTGGTATCTGACAGGGGACTCTCATAGGTTTCTAGCTAGCGTTTGTACACCTAGACTTTTGTCCTTCGTTTGAGTGCTCATGGTCCCCTGACTGAACTCAGGGCGCGACAAGTCAGCCTTAGCCCAAGGTTGCATGCTACAGACCAAAGGCCTTTTTCCCAGGGCTAAGCCATGGACCACTCTCCAAAGCAATCCGCGGCAGAGGCTCTTCAGACATCCGGCCCGGCGGTTTTTTTGGCGGTAGCAATTAGTATGGTCTTTGCAAGTGCTCCCACGCTGTGCATCTTCCTTTATAAGGCGCGAAGACATACGCGGAGAAATGATAAGTCCCATGTTGCACAAAGTCATCAATCCAGGGGCTGTTCATTGCAAGAACCCTCCAACATGCCTTTTGAAAAATTGCCGAACCCTCAGGTGACCAGCTTTCAAACGGCGGAGGCTTGGGGTATGCTCAGACGGTCTGGGTATTCAGATCCCAAATTGCCGAGGCCTTCGCCTACACCTACCATAGCGGCGCGGAGCAAGTGACTAAGCAGGCGCGCGAGGGTTCGCGCGCGCTTGTGTGCGCGCTTCTGGTGGTCTCGCGGGTTGTGGTCTTTATGTGTTCGATCACCGAAATTGGCGGCCAGAAGCTGAAAGTCAATTTAATTGCACGACAAACAACTCGCTGCGTGTTTTGTTCCAGTCGTGTGTGTTTCAGACAAATAAACTGACAAATTGTTTATGCGAGTTTGGTTTCTTCGTTTCGATGTCACTGATTGAATTGTGCGGGGTCATAGTTGCAATCACCAGCCTAGCTTGGTTTGTTTCCTCATCGCTTGCACTTGTATACTATTAGTGGCTGGTGCTGGTACCTGTGCAAAACCATCGCTGTCAGCTACTAGGTCCCTTTTACCCGTTTGTGGGGGAGGATTCCCCTACTAAAATAGACTACAGAAAAACGGGTACCCTTATTATAACTGACCTAGGCTATCATGAATTTCCATGACCTTCCATCGTCGCTGCCATGAGTTCCCACCGCCAAGCATCGCATGTAGTGCCCCCCAGCTGCCAGACGCTATGAGCCAATCGACGATCCATCCATTTTGCTGACACGGGCATATTTGCACGTATATCGCATATCTGAATCCGAGCCTAGTCGTGGACCCGTCGATTTCCCAGCTGACCCATCCTCCACACCCGTGAGAGATGATCGTCCAGCTGCGAAAGCAGCACGAGGTTTGGATTTGGGGTTGTACCATCCACAGGCCCGTATCTTTTGGGTGGATTCCAAAAGAAAGACCGTGGAGCGCGTGGAGCCGGGTCAAGGATCCCTTAGGATTTCCGGAACTTTGACAATGAGAAGGATCTTGGTAGGTAACCATGTCCATGGCTCACATGAAGGATTCACTTGTTCTGCAGGGGGCACACTCACCAAAATTGAATGTCAATGTGGCATACGATGAATACCCATACCCTAGGAGCCCAAGACCAGAAATATGAGGGCCTTTGACCCTGGAGTGCCTCAATTCATGGGGTCTTGGGCAGGGATAGCATAAAGAGAATGATTGGCTACTCCCCAAGTTCCAATGCATTCGGACACCGGGCGCCAGCGGAGTTCTGACAGCGAGAGGCCGTGCTGCGACTGCACCCGCAGTCCCACCGGCCGGAGCCTCCAAAAGTTGTAAATGGGGGGGGGGGCGGGGGGGAGCCTTGGCTTTCGGTTTGTTCTGTTGTTGAAGTTGTTGTTTTTCTTTTTTTCTTCTTCTTCTTCTTTTTTTTTTGTGTGTGTGTGTGTGTGTTTTTTTGGGTGTTGGGAGTTGATCCCTGCAAGCGTTGAAAGGAAACTCTGGAAAAAGACAACTGGAAGGTTATGATTCATGGCTCTGAGCATAGAGTGTATACTGTGTGGGTGGCAAACGTGGGCAACCCAGGGCTATGAACATTCACATTTGCTGGCTTCCCGGGGGATCGATGCACATCAAGCACAAATTCGCACATGTTGGACCCTGACCGAAAGGCAAGCACTGACTGATCTTCACAGGGACAGCAGGCTGTTCAATGGCAACTCGGCGTACTTCCTGGTCTCCCCACCCAAACAAACAAATAGTCTTGCAACAACAAAGAACAGTAAAACTAAAGTCAAACGACGTTGTTGCGATATTGACTCCATCTATGCATGCATTGTCAGTACTTATTTGTTGGATCCCTTGTTTACCGGCTTCAATCAATTGGGAACCCAAAAAGAGATCCATTTGGTGTTGAAAGGGAAGCCACCAGGCAAACCGCCAACCCCCATATTTCTGTGTTTTCCTCTTTTTGCGAGAACTCGGTTCCCTAACAGTCCTGTGTTGTTTTTTTCAGCCCCAGGCCTTTCTCCGATTTGAAGCGGGCACCCCCCAGGACCCCCCCACCCACCCTCCGCCTTGAGCCACTGGAGGCTGGAAATGCTGCAGGAGCCGCAGGTGGTGGCGGAAGGCTTCAGCCCCTTCGTCAGCCCGGAGCTGAGTCCGGCGAGTCGTCGCTTCGGTGTCCGAGTCGTCGGCGAGAATTCAAGAAGCTTCCGCGAAAGCTTGCCCCGGTTGTCGAATGGCGGGGAGCCGGTTGCCCCGTCCGGTTCCTTAGGATTTTGTTTAGGTGTTTAGTTGGTTTGGTGAAGTTGTTTTTGTTTGAAACCGCTAAAAGTTGTATTATTTAGCAGGGAATCTGAGGACAGCCCAGTTTTTGGGGGTTGGTTGCTTTGAGCGGAACGTGGGGGACCAGCCAAGAAGTGAACGTTTTGCAGGGGAAAGGTGGTTGACGGGGCCGTCTTTTCAATTTTGTTGGATTTCCAAAATCACTTTGGGATGCTGGGAACCCGGAAAGGCTGCTCTCAACAGGTCCTTTTCTATCCCAAGGTTGGCTTGCAATCCAACTCACAGGGCAAGCACAGGTCACTTTCAAAGTGTTCTTGGGTGTTTCTTGTTGCAACAACCATCTCAACGCTGAGCATGACCCAGCAGGGGAAACGCCTAGTTTCGTTGTGGCCCCGGCTTGTGTCCTCGTTCATTTTGTTCATTCAACCGCGCAATACGCGACGCAGCTCCAGCGAGTTCTGCAATCGAGTATCAGATGCGCGCGCGGAACATCGCACCGGTGACCTGACAGGTCCCAACGGCCTCAGTCGGGCAGCACATCCCAGTGGCGATCAAGGCCTCAGGCTCCTGCTCCATAGCAAAGCTTAGCAGCCTTCCATCCTTGTGCACAAAAACACCCCGCCATGGCAGCTCTTTGTCTCAAACATCCGGCGGACAAATTGCTCAGTGGTCCCGGTTTTCCGGGCGGCACCATGTTGGAGCTTGGCTCCGGACGAAATTCCGCCCCTAGACCTGTTTGGGAGCGCGCGCTGCTGAGATGTTCAGTTTGGACTTTTGCGGCTCAGAGTGCCATCAGGCTGAACAACTTATAACGAGCTCACCCAGGGCCAAGACGAGCTCACCCGTGATGAAGGTCATTTCTCGCTCAGGATCCCATCTGTGAATAGATAACTATCGTGATTTATTGTCCCAGATCAAGCAAGATCCCGGCTGTTTGAAGGCACGACGTGACTTAGATGCTCAAGCGACATGCTGGTGTCGCTTCTGTGGTCCAGAGCAATCGAGTTGCAGCAGTTTGTTTTCCTCCGGGCACCTGTTTGGTTTGATCATGCCTTTTCTTCTTTAGCTCGCTGTAGAACCGTAGAAAGGCTCTGATGTCACGATTCACGTGCCAAGATTTGCCCAGGAACATATTGAATATCCGTCAGAGGATTCCCGGCAGCAAATCCCACAACGCCACTCAAGTCGTTGTGCTTGCTGGGTGCTAAACAGCCCACATTGGTTGACTTCCCCCATGCAGAGATAAACCAAAGGCGGTGTATGTGTTTGGTTTGCCAGACCCCCATCTGGCTACGGCTATTCGGACAGGACGCTTTGTTCATTGGCATACGGCCTGCTGAGGTACAGTCAGCACAGTACACCGAGAGGCCAGGCTGAAGTCGGGGTGGGACGACGAGGATCTAGATTGATGCACAACTGGCAACCTCGAAAACTGGGGGCTTCAAAAGACAGAGTCCGCCTATGCTGCACAGGCCCTACAAGTTCCTTACCTAAGGATCTCGTATTCGAAAGACAATGTCTTAGTACGCTTGTTGGCAGTTGGGGAAACACGTGCTTAGATGCGCTTGGACGTAGCTAAATGGTTGCTAACCATGGCTATAGCCTACTCACCATGGGCACAAGTCCAAGTCCCCAAGTGCCAAGTGGGTTATGACAAGGGTCACTAGTGTTGACCCCGGATTAGTAAACCCCTGTTTCTAAATATGGGGGTGGGAGCCCCTACAAAGGTGATAAATCCCCACTAAACCCAGGGATATTTCCATAATACACAGGGGTATATGCCCCTCCAAAAGTGAATCCCCACCAAACCCAGGGAAAAGCACCCCCATATTAATCAACAGGGGTCCTACTTAGATCCGGGGTCAACATTTTGCATGTTGAGCTATGTCCAGCACCATCTAAGCGCCTCAACGTTCCGGATTCGGATCGGGCGAGTCGCAACTCCAGGAACAGGTTGCCTGCCTGGCTTTCAGATGCTCATTTGCCCCAAGCCGACCTGTTAACCATTGCCATGTTGGTCCATTTTTCGAAAAAACTTCCCACAAGATGAACCTCTTTATTTCAGGGTCCTTTGGGCAAGTGAGGATAGCGCAGGGAAAGGTTTTGCCATACGTGCAAATAAATAGAATGAGTACCAAACAGTTAGCGTAGCAGGCTCACATGAGGGGACCCGAAATGGAGAACCGCAAAGAAGGGTTCGGCTCACTTGCACCTCGAGTGATGTGTACAACATCCGAGTGCAAACCATCTGCTAGAAGTTGAATTAGAATTCATATCTTAGAATATTAGATTACGTTTGAGCTTGGGTGTTTGTTTCAAGCATGTGATTTGAACCTGGGTCCGATTTTTTTCCAGAATGGAGAACACCTGAAGACGGGTTGGTTTTTCCTACTGGTTTCCCTTTGCAGGTCCACCAGTTTCAGCCCCAGAGGGGTCAACGGATTCGAGCCTGGGCCACGGAGCTGTCGAACCGCTCGCCCGTGTTTTTCACAGGGGAAAGCAAGAAACACATGACGCAAGCTAGGCCCCTAGCTAGGTGCCCTTTCTTACCGTTTCTTTTTTGGGGGGGAGGGGGACACCCCTACTACAATAGACAACAGAAAAAAGTTGCGACCAACTTATTCTAACCTCTCTACTAGAGGACCTAGCAAACTTATGGCAACAACGCGAAGGCACCTCAACCGACAGTATATCGGCTTTCCTTTTTCGTTTTGCACCAACCCAACAAAAAAGGTCGCCACCTTAGCCAGGATCTCTCCTAGGGAGCGCTTATTTTGGGCTGGTCGTGTTGCGGAATACACTCATGTGCTTGGTAGCCATGATTCGCACGGCTGATCTCAATAAGCTTTGTGATTCATGTCCCCTTATCGCCCCAATATGGCCTGTTGGCAATTTGTTTGTTTCAACAAATAGCCAGGAACGCGACATGCGAGAAAATGCTTGAGGCCCAATAGCTTGCATGCCCCTTTGACCGATCACCTCGGCCCAGACAAGAAAAACACAAAGCGAAACCAAGAAGCAAAGATCGAACATACATTTGTGGTCAGCCAGAGCTGGTTTTTGCACTTTAGATTCAATGCATGGGCATCCTGCCCTGCAGTGTAGTTGGCAGTCGTTTTTTTTTTGGCAGCTGCACGGCGGAGGGCACAGAAGTCTGGCTCCACTGGCAATGCTTTCTGTGGCACATTGACTAGCCAAGAAATGCTAATGCAAAGCCGTGTGAAACACGCTTCGCGCCTGGTTTAGACATTATGATTGCTGCCTGATTCATAGTGCTTCTGCAGTGCTTTGTCTCAAGAGATGGTCCCTTTTAAAGTACCCCGACTGATTCTTTATGGCTGCGGAACCAACACATTGCCGGGGTCCTTTGCCCCGCATGCTATCCAACGGATCTTTCCCGCACGCAGGCAGAAGCGCAACCTCAAGGCAGGTGACGCATTCAAAGGTCCCAGCACATCCTCGGTCCCAATCAATATACTTTTGTCCCAATGAAGGGATGTGTGTGTGTGTGTTTGCTTTGTGAGGGTACCCTTTTCGACTTGGTTTAAAAGGAACCCGGAAGGATCCCGTCTTTGTTTGTTTTTTCGGGCCTCATTTTGACACGTACCCTATGAGTTTGATAGTGTTTGTTTCGTGTTCTGTGACAGTTTGTGTGCTCTTTTTTTTTTGGGGGGGGGGAATCGGCTGCCCGATCCCTTCTTGGCTGCAAAAGGTTTGCTTTTGATCGAAGACTGGGGCCATTTGCTGGTATCTACCGCACGTGTTGCGGGGCTGTTTTCGGGCGGATGCGTTCCGGCGTTCAAAGGCTGCTCTTTGACCGACAGCCTTTGTCTCGGTTGCACCGTCGTCCGTCCAGAAAGGGCGCTGGCCAAGCTTCGAGCTTTCCATCGCATCTGCGCCCTTGTCGGGGGCTGCCAGCCATAGTGCAGACATCCACTTGCTCACGAAGCGTCAGCAAGAGCATCATGCAAGCCGCAACTATGTGCAGTAGAAGCATGTAGCAATCATACGCACTTCCACACTTTGTTTGACTGGCGGGCACATGCACGTCCAGACATGTCTGCAGTAACGCCTAAATGAGGCTATTGCCAGCATGTGCCACGTGTGTGACCTAGGTATCATGTGAGCCAACTTGTGGATGGTTCTGCGGCCCATCGTAAGCATTACACTTGCAATGGGCGGATTGGGCCATTTGCTGCTAGGCAATCGGCATTTAAAAGTACGGCTGGTAGAGAGCAAGACAGGACAAGGCTTCTTGTCTCGTAGGGCAATGTGGTTCAGCAAACGGATTGAGTAGTCCTTTTCTCACGTCGGGGAGAATCAGACGCAGATGGCAAGTTGGGTCTGTCTCCAAACAGGGAAAACATTTTTCGTTGAGCTTCGGACATATCCCAGGATAAAGCAATCCAATGGTGTGTGTCCAAAATTTCCGAAACACGCCTGCAGATCCAGGCCACCGCTTCTTTACATTCATCGGCGGCGAAGGCGTCGCCGATTCGATTCGGTGCACATGGGTGTTGAGCCGCAAGGGACGCCGTGTTTTTTGTTTTGCCGGCACGTAGAGCCATCATTGTACTTAAACTCAGTCCAATATCCAAAGCCGATGGTCCGAGTCTTTGACCCATTTTTGATCAACGCACGGATTAGCCTTGCATGTCCGGGTCCTTTGGGACAGGAAGGGTTGGACTATCGCCATTGCCTCTGGCCGCAAGCTTTACCTTAGGCGCTTTTTGTGGTTCGCCGGGGGCCGTTCGGCTTCAAAGGGGAAATCATTGAGAGGTGGACGCTTCAGACCTATGTTGCAACCGTCAGGGTATTGGGCTTGAGTTTGAGTATGCCAGGGGGGCCTCGATCGAAATATGATTTCAAGACTCATGGCCCGTCCCATCACACCTTGTGCTTGCGACTTTCAGCAAAACATCTCAGCTTTGGCCGGTTCAATGGTCAAACACATGTATTGTTTTCCGAAGAGAAGCAGTGTTTGTCAAGGGTCCCCGGCCAGGTGTTTGGAACCTAAGCCCCCCTCAGATCTTTGGTGCTTGTTTAAACCACTAAAAGGTAAGCTTTTAGCAGGGGAGCAAAAAGCAACCGAGAGATGGTCCATGGTTGTAAGTCCTGAGCGGATGTTGCCTCAGGAGCCAAGGGCCGCGGCCGCTTGTGCGGCGCTGGGGTTCCCAGAGCGAAGCGAAGTTTTTTTTTCACGGCAGACAAAACAGTTTTGGGATGGTCACAAACCACAAATGGGTTTGTTGTTTTTGGAGGGCACTCATGTTTTTTTTGGGGGGGAAAGGAGGGGGGGGCTTAAAGGGAAAGCAAAAGGACCACCATTCTGGAGCGGTCCCCTGCAAAAGACACCCAAATAGGTTCGGATGTCCGGCCTCCAGATGCTTTCAATGACTTTGGGTAGACCATGTTGATATCAGGTTTTGATTGTGACTCAAGTAGTCAGCGGCAACTAAAGGATGGCCATTTGCACTAATCATTCAGTCCATTGGCAACTTTTTCTGAGGATCGGTTTCAGATAACATTGGCACATGTCCAGCAAGTGAGTATTTTTTGGGCACGTTTTTTTTAGTCGTTGAATCACCCAGAGTTGGCAATCTGGCAGAGTGCCCCTGATTCTTTGCCCACCTGGTTGCGAAGCACACCACAAATTGTCGCCCAAACTCATTCGAGCACGCGGAGAGGATCAAGATCCTGTTTGAGGGGATCTCTGACTTCTGGTTTGGGAATTTTCTGACCAAGTGATCAGAGGGAGCCAGCTTGCTGGGCTTGCTTGCATGTTCCCAGTGCAGAATGCCCCTCTTTGAGCACTTGGCTTTCAAGGGTTTGCCCCCACCCACTAGCAGAAAACCACGTCAACGAGACGTTGTATTGGAGGTGCTCCAACCCCAAAGCTGTTTTTTAACCTTCATTTTGCTGATCGGCTTATGGGCCAACAACTAGAGAGATGTGGGGGGTGCTTAAGCCCAGGTATTCCCGAACGGATCCTTCCACTAGTCCACAGCCGCTCTGCACCCCCGAGCCCCCCGGCAGCAAAACCTTCCCCCATTTGGCTTCAAAACTGACCTGCAGTTCAAACTTCCTGAAAACCACAAGAACTGCGCAAGAGCTGGTTGATTGGTTTTGGCGGGGCTGGGGTCCGTTTTCTCTGGCCGAACCACTCGCAGCCACGCCGATCCTTGCCTTGAGGTCAGCGCCGGGCTGCCAGATCGCTGCCAAGATGTGGGCGCGTCCTCCAAAGAGGCGGGGCGCAGGGCCCGGGCACGCCTCGTCCGAAAGCTTTCGAGCCGCGGTGTCGAGGGGAGGGGCCGCGGGGCGGCGAAGTGGCGGTGATTTTTAGCTTTGGAACCCCTCACAAGTGGTCCCTATGATGTCCACCCAAGGGTCCCCAATTGAAAGTTATACCCAAATGGGTGTGTCTTTTCTGGGGGTGCTCTTTTTGTGGTGGTTTGAACAGAAACTCAAAAGCAACCCGACCAAGTAGAAGGGTGCCGAACTTTAGGAATCCCCTTTTGCTTGGTTTTTCAAGGGGAGCTAACAGGAAACCAGACAATTGGGGGGGGGTCCCTATGTTGACGCATGCCCAATGGCACATCTGACGTTCTGGCGGCATCCTCCGAATCCAATTCCTTCAAGGGTTTGTGTTTCTTGAGGGTACACTTTTTGTAGTTGCTTGAGCGGAAAACCGAAGCCTTTTTTTTTTTGTGAAAGGGAAGGAATTCACCTATTTTCACACACCCAAAACTATCTCGCGGTGCTGAAACTTTCCTGCTCTTGAGAGGTTAATTTTCAGATGATGACAATCTCCGCATGATGTGTGGAACTTGTGCCCTATGTGCCCTTCGCAACAAGCTGACTCACGGATCTTCGAATTGCCCGCCTGACTTCAAGTTTGATACTGCCTTACATTTGTTTTCGCGGCAATGCACTCGTGGTTGCAAGTTGTCTGATCTCCTTCGACGCAGTTGAACCGGCTGGAAGGGAATTGATGAGATCCTTTTCATAGTTGTGTATGGCCGACGCTTACCTGACTCACTTGTGAATCGCTGACGCTGGATTGGAGTGGTCACGAGGAGTTTGATTTGCATGAGCTGATGGAACAAGGTCCCGGGAAAAAAACAACACACACATCAGGCTTTTTGGGGAGCTTAGAAGTGGGAATCGGCAAAGCGCTTGTAGCTCAAGAGGAAAGCTAGGCTCGTCAATAGTGCCATTGAGATTCCTCCGAGTGTTCCTCAAAATGGTGGACCCCTGAATTTGAACGGCATTTTCAAGGGAAAACCCCAGGAATCCGAGCATTTAATGTTGGACCACTATTTTGCGAAGCCCCCCAATTGCAGTTTGGGAATTTGCGGAGGTTCTTGGCATGGATGGAGTTGTCATTAGCCATTAGCTCACGGTGCAACCCAAGAAGCTCCAAGGTCAGCTCAGAGGCACAGCTTGCGGGAGTTGGAGTGGCTAGTATGGTATTCAGGGGACGCCTCCATGGCCCTTTTTTGGGACTCGGCATTGGGCTGTGGGTTTGCTTAGGGCAGCCCGTAAATGGATGCGTTCTCTTTGGGTTTCCCTTCAAAGCGACCCGCAACGGGGTCGCAGAAAACAGGTAAAACAAAGCCACACCCATGTGGGTATGTGTGAAAATAGGGGCCAAACAAAATGGGTTGTTGTCCCTCTTGTTTCCCTTTAAAGAAACGATCAAAGGGACCCTCAACGACACAAACCCCTGTGAGTTGCTGAATTATGTTGGGCCATGGCACGTATGGTTCCCTCAATCCTGGTCATAGCTCAAATCATTGCTATGTCAAACGACCCGAACCCATGTGACATGACACAACCCCATGTCACAAACCCATGTGAAATGACACAAGTCCCATGTGAAATGAAAACCCCATGTGTGACATCATGTGTGTTTTGTTGAACTCTTTGTCATCCCCGTTTCGCATGTCTCCTCCAGGTGCTGTCAGTGGCCTCCGCTCTGCTCAGCGACGGCCGGGTCTTCCTCTTGACCAGCAGCGTCAGGGGCCCAGAAACCGACGGCCGACGGCCAGCTGACGGGCTGTCGGATGGGTGAGGCTTGGAGGCTTCCGTGGGGCAAGGTTTGAAGCCTGTGAACTTTGCTGTGGATGGACGAACCCAATCTTGCACCACTTTGAAATGGTTAAGTTTACTGTGGATGGACGAAACCAATCTTGCAACCATGATTGAACCCATGGGTGAAACTAAGGTTGCAACCACGGTTTAAAAACCATCGCTGGTTTGGTACTGCTAGGGGGGAATCCAATCATTCCGTTGGGTTTCTGAACGGCGGCGCGATTTCTGGATTTGGGGGTTGATCAAAAGGTCCTTGCAAGGAGTTATGTATTCGGTGACCATTCGTCTTTTTTTAAATCCCTCCGCGAAAGATCGGCGATGGAGTTCGCGAAAGAAAAACAATTTTCGCGAAAGATTCCGCGTTGGGTTCTTGGAGGCATCCTGTGCACTTGCATATTTGCAGACCCCGCTCCCTTGTAGACAGGGAGATGCGCAGCACTTATAGTTGCATTACTGATTCTCATTCCTGTGTTGGGAAGTTGGGAAAGGTGCAAACCAATGACGTTGGCTGGGCTATTTTGGAGCAAGTTTCGCGAAAGATCCGCGAAAGACCGGCGAAAGTCCATGGAGCTTGTTGCAAGGTTCCGCACTTCCCCGGCAAGCGCAAGTGACAAGGGCGAATGGCGGTGACTGCTTGCTTTTAACGCTACTGCAAGCCTGCCAGCGCAAGTGAACTGCGGCTACAGTGTTTGCAAGCACAACTGCAGCAGCCACAATGGCTCCAGAGTGCACGCTGCAAAGTGGCGATGGAGTCGCGAAAGATTCGCGAAAGAATTTTTTTTTCTCGCGAAGATGGCGTTTTCCGGAAACAGGAATATTGATCAACTGCCATTTCGCAACCATCCACAGTACCATTTTGAGTCTTGCCTTGGACTTCTGAACCTTTTTGTTCTAAACCCGGCTGCCTAGCTCCAGGCGCTTGGGATTATCTTGGGCCAGGGATGGACCCCGGCAATGGACCCCCCCCAAAGCTGCATGAAGGATTGTTTATTTGGTTCCTCACTGTGGAAGTAGTGTGGGTCTGTCTGTTTTGCGGGTACCCCTTCTTGAGGAGTTTAAACGGAAAGCAAAGGAAAAGCCACAATCTTGGATGGGGTCCCCTAGAAAAGACACACCCATGTAGATGATTGGTGCACGGGTCATGTCTCAATGCGTTTTGTTTTAATGATTTCTGAGGGACCGAGATCTCTGCTGCAAAGTTTGCCATGCTTTTCAATTTAGGAATCTGGAAGTATCTAACTTCCATGGGCAAGTCCTACGCTTCGAAGTCCGAGGCCAGATGCCGTATCCAGTCTTCCCCTCCTCGGAGAACAAAAACGACTCATATTCCTCCAAACCCCTTTGAGGGGGTAGCGCTTATGCAAATTCAAGAAACATAGATCCAGACTTGTTGCCATCATACTGGGTCCCTGGACGTGATATTGCACTCATACGTATAGCCAAATGTCATTTTGTTTTGTCGTGGCACTCCTGGAGGTGTTCTTCAATATGGCAGTGGGTCAAGACCAATGGCACCCATTTTAGTCTATTTTAGTGGGGGATTGGGATATTCACTGGGGGTACGGGATTTTGACCCATGGCCATATGGGAATCCAATTCATTCATGCTGCATCTTAAACACATTTGCCAGGCCAGCGGCACCCCCCACTACGCGCTGGTGGGCCTTGGTTCTGCCTGAGTCGGTTGCGGTTCTCCGAGCCGAGCTCGCGCGGTGCGAGCCAGCAAGTGGCGCAGGCCAAAAAGCGTGCAGCCCAGGGTCGAAGCGACAGCAAAAGCTGGTTGAGAGTCAAGAATGCGGCAAAGATTCTGGAATTGTTTGGAATACAATGAGCTTCACAGTATGTTTGACTTATGTGGCTTGATATGACTTTGTGTCAGTATATAAAGATATATATGTAATATATATGACATGCCATGTATACAGTGTGGGATGCAAGTATGTGACAGTGAGTGGTTTGGTGCGTCATTCTAAGAGAGCTTGTGTTCGAGCAGCAGCTATACCCAATTCAATTCTTTCGAGAGTAGCTAACATAGCGTATCGATTTGGGAAACCGCGAGTACGTCCATCAGCCGAGACATCTCAAAATGTCTATCACAATGGCCACCGCGAATCTCTCGACGTCTCACCTCGTCCTCCTCGCCCTCATAATCGAGTGCCTCCACTACGGCAACGCCTTCCTGATTGCAACACAAGCCTCCATCGGCATTTTCCCCATCGAATACGAGACGCTAGTACATGATATGATCGACGTCACTGCCCACATCTTTCTTCGCTTGCTACAGTGCATGCTAGCCTATGATGTGAGCGCATCCAGAATTACCTCTGTTGTGCTGCTCAATTTCCTAGCCTTGCAACTCAGTGCCGAGGCGACTATGACGTGGGCGCTCCCCGTTGGTGGTTATTACCTGCTCGCAGATGGTTCCTTCGCAAAATCTGCTCCCTTTCTATCGATCTTTCTCGACTTCTACCCGCGAAGAACGCCTGGACACTCTTACGAGGAAGTAGTGTTGAAGCGGATGTGGGTCGTGCTGCTTCGGATATGTGTCTACGTGTTTTTGGAAGCAGTTGCGGGAGCGGGCATTGTGGAGTTGGGCAAGGAACGTGCACGGGAAAAGAGGGGGGATGGGAGCGAACCCGGACGGAAAATCGAGGGGAAAGATGGAGTGGTACGGAAAGATGAGGAGCCTCGCTCCGCCGGCACCGTCCGCCAGCGAGTGACGAAGAAGACGCCGGCGCCTGTTGGCAGCTCGAGCGCTCCGCAGGGGAAGCTGCAGCCTCACAAGCGCAACGCGTTTCTCGCCTATCACTTCTTCTACCTGGTTCTGGCGAACTATTACCTGGAGAGCAAAGACCTTAGGTTCTTTCATTTGAGCCATTGCATGAACTTCGCGCGAGCAGTGTTGTTTGGCTGGTGGTGAGCATTCAATTGCTCTGGCGTCATTGGTCAATGATCTTGTCACATCGCCGCTTGTTGTTTGTTGCCCAGAGATCTGTACATTGGGGATTGCCGACCAGGTAACCATGGTGTTGGGCAGAGTGATTGTTGAGAGGAGCACAAGCGAGATCGCAATTGGTGAGCGTATGTATGAGTAGGCACAATAGCCGAGGAGGCACTCGTCGGGACAAGCAATATCTGAGATGTGATGTGCCAACCTATTCTCCAAAAAGCTTAGCTCAACATTGAAGCATTGAAGGCAGCAGACGTAGCTTCGAATCGATCTATCGAACTTTGAGCTGAGAAAACTTTCAAGATTGTGTGAGCGTTGCTGAAATGCACTGCTCTTCAAGGCAATTTGGCCTACTGGTTTACTGGCGAGGGCAACAGAAGTCCAGAACGAGGTGTTTGGGATGGCACACTTTGCACTTTGTTTATTTGCACTGCATCAGTCATTGTGGTGCGCTATCCAAGGTGGATAAACGAGGGAATCCGCATGAATCCGCAAAGGCTTCACACCTGTGCCTAGTTGTGCCTCCGTTTCGGGTACATTTGATTTCTCTTCTCGTGCAACTGTGCGCGAAGGCAACACGGCTTGTTTCGATCAAAGTGCAGCACGGCTTTTGGAATCAATCCGAACGTCAATGAATCTAATGTATGTATTGATTCAGAAAAAAAAGAAACACAAACGCGTCATAATAGAGTAGGAATGACGAGTGACCATTGCCGGCCGAACCGGACCAATGAGGTCCATGACCTCTGCACGGTTTGATTTGCTATGACTATGCTGTGACTGCAACATGAGTAGAAAGCAATTGGACACACTACTTTGTCTATATGCCGCATGAGCTCCAGCGCTGCCACGAGCCATTTCATCGGGCTAGGGACATTTAGATGTCCGCAATCCTTGGGAGTCTGGGAGGTACCGTTGTTTCCGTTGATTTTTGCAGGCGGGAAAGGAGAAGCCATTTGCCCTTCTCATTACAGTCGTAAGCATTCAAGGTCAACTCCACTGCGGGGATGTGATGGCTGACCAATCATGGTCCGCATGAACACTCCCTGCCCAACCCAAGCCACTCACAAAAACACAAACACATAATTCTTGAATTTTCTCTCGGCTGTGCTATGGTGCTCGCCTGTCAGCCGGATTCTGCGAGCCTTGCCGATGATCCGCATGACTTTGGCCGGGCTTGTGTACAGCGTGGTCCGCATACCTTTGAACGAGATTCTGTACAGCGCGGTCCGCCTACCTTTGAATGAGACACCTCAGCTAAACATTGAGCTGGATGATTTCAAGGAGGACAAGTCGGACTTGCCGGACCTCAACGACACCACCTTCGACACTGTGACTTATGCGGCTCCCTGTCTGCTGCTGCTCGCCTGGTTCGCTTTCAGACGCGAGCGCTCGCTGCAACACACCGCCGAAGCCGCGGCGCCGGAAGAGCAGACGGCGGACGGGGCGGGCCCAGCGGGCCCAGCGGGCCCGGCGCCGGTGGCGCCGCCGACGCTTGGGCAAAGCACACCGTTTGGTCCGTTGGTCGTTTGGGTCCCCATTGATCTGTGGCCCACTTCGGCAGAAAAGGTGAAGTTGTGTTTGTGTCCGGATTTGCTGGGGCAAGTGGGTGTGAGGTAATGCCATGATATTGCACGAATAGGGTGGATCCTGAAGGACAATCTGGAATGGAATGGTGTTTGGCAGGAGTCAGTTTAAAACAAGCAAAACAACGAGCAGAACCAGTTTTTTTTGTACTGAAGTCCCGAAATAGACTGCTAGCCTCACTTTTGGTTTGCAATGAATATGATGAGGGGGGAAATCCCATTGCATACCTGGTTACCTGGGGTCTGAAAGCTACACACAGCATGCAAGGGAGAAGACCTGCGGGCTTGGATCATGCCCCTCCAGGTGCTGGTTTGGTCATCGCATTAATCCTCCCACCTACTTGAGCCGAATTGATTTCATTGTTTTTGTTGGCAGTCCCTCCAAGCACCTACAATGTGCTTACTTGTCAATTCCCTAGCCTGATTGCAGTTTCGACCGGTTGAACTAGAAGTGTTGTTTAAGCTTTCATTGAAAACTAATTGAAGATAGACATAGGAAGCCACGTTGGGACATACGGGTTGATCAAAAGGTCCTTCACATGGATGACCATCAGGAAAGCCCATAAAAAAACGATGACTTCTATCACTCAAATAGGAAAAGTTACCCATGGTCATTTTGGGGCCGAACAAAATATGTATCAATCCCAACATCCACTCCAAATTAGCACGCGGATCTGGGAGTCTTTACTTGGGCGCCAGACTCACACTGACCCCGAGGTGTTTTTCCCGCTCCATGTTTCGTGCGCGCAATCCAGGGAACACCGGGGCAAACAACCTTAACATCTATCATGGAGGGCCCAGTTTGTCTAACCCTAGCCTTTGAGTTTTGATAGTGGTACGCTGGTATACCCGGTTTTTGTGAAACCAAAAGGACACCACCTGTATTAGGGGTTCCCTTTCTTGATACACACTCCTCAATCCCCAATAAAGAAGCCTTCCTACATTGTCCCTTGCTACTGGTGGTGTATTTTGAGGGTGTGCCCCTACATTTCAAGCCGCGGTTTTAGAACATCCTTGTTGTTTTCATATCTTCCCTAGCCAATAGCCTCGCCAAATCGGTGGCTTGGATTGGGGATTTGACCTGCTTTGTAGGCGGGGTGGTTTCGAAACCACCCCTAAGCCAATCCAAGGGTCAGAACGCACAACTCGAAATCGATCTCCTTCCAAAACCTGGAGGTCTCCCTTCTCGTACCCAAACAGAAGGCACGTTGGGTGCTTCAGCCACTCCTAGGTCCCCCAAGTAGTGCCTTTTTACTCTTTTTTTGGGGAGGGTTTCCATACTAAAATAGACTACAGAAAAAGGGATACCCTTATTCTAACCTCTCTACTGGAGGAAGTCTCTAAACCAAGGGAAAAATCCAACGACATCGATCCATCCGAGGAGGGCCAAAGGAAAGCCACCGCCGCCGCCCAAGGGCAAGGCCCCGCCCAAGGCCAAGGCCAAACCACGGCCTGGGGAAAACCCTCTGGGCACCCGGCGAGCGCCTCGGCAGGCCTAGGAGATGCGCGGAACAGCGCAAACCAGCAAAAACATGAGATGGCTGTGGGTCAAAACCCTGTACCCCTGGTGAACATCAAAATTGGTTGTACATGGGTGTTCATCCGCCTCAAAATGGAGGAATAGGTTATGACCCATGGCCAAATGTTGCAAGCTCGGCGACCGCCCTTTGGGACGGTGGTGAATGCGAACCAACAGGAAAGCAATGGGATGGACGAGTCCTCTTTTTTTGACAGATTATCCAGGAATAGATGCGATATACGTCCTGTTTAGTGTGACCAGTAACATGTAGTATCTTGTTCTCACAATCCGCGAAGCATCATTTTTCAACCCTTGCTTAGGCTCAAAATCGGGAGATGCTCCCGCAAACTAGCTCGGCAAATTTGCAACGCAAGCAGAGTTACGAGCAAGAGACACACATGGTAGTCTTGGGTGGTTTCTTCCGTCCCGTCTCAACACACCACCCCCCAATGGCAAACAAAAAACACACATGCTTGAGTCTCCTAAACCCCCTGAACCCCCTAAACCCCTCAACCTTTTGTGGATGGACAAACGCCTGTACCGATTGGATAAACCTCTGCTGTTGAATGATGAAGCTTCTTGCTTTTGTCCAACCGTAGGAGCAGCTTTCCAAACGCCCCGAAACACACCACCCACACATTCGCAGCCCCCCCTCAAACAATAAGCAAGAGACAAAAACAAGAGCAAGACAAGTACAGACACACAAAGAAGCAAAGGCGCACCACACCCCAAACACACCGGGGGAAGACTAGGGTGTTTAATTTAGGTATGTCTCAAAACAGGGGACCGTTTTGTGAATGCTTAAGGGCAAACCAAAAAGGACGCCGCCCTTTGAGACACACTGATAGAACGGATTTCTCGAGGTGCGATGGACCCATCAGTCGGTGGGCACCGTCTTCGAAGGCCTGGGCAGGGGATCTTTGCGCTCAGAAACCGCCAAGATGCTGGACGAGGCGCGCCCCGCAAAGGGGTCGATGGATTCGCGTGCCGCGAGATGTGTGAGTTTGGTGGATACACTGCCCTGGCCGGTAAGTAAAGGGTACCCAAGTGATTTAAGTTCATGCGCAGGGGAGAGAACTTCAAGACATCTATCTATCTATCTATCTAGCTAGCTATCTATCTATCTATCTATCTATCTGCCTATCTATCACTTGTCTAACCTGTATATCTATCCATACATCATCTATCTTTCAACCCACCTTAACTATCATATCTATCTTATCTATATCATCTGTCTAATCTATCTGATCTATCTAATCTGTCTGTCTGTCTGTCTGTCTATCTATCCGTCGATCAATCGTTCTTTCTTTCTTTCTTTCTTTCTTTTCTATCGCCAGTCAAGCATCGTGAATTGACTTGCACGCCCCTTGGGACGGGTCCCATTCGCTCGCCGCAAAAGCGACGAGGTCTTCAAGCCCACTGGAGAGAAGGCTACGGCGCGGGAGCGGTTCTTGCCCAAGAGCTCCTCGAGCTGTTTGATTCCGGCTCCAATGGATGGCGGTTTGTCCCCATTTTAGTTTTGGGTTTTCCTTTTTGGTTTTGGTTTCCGTGGGGTTTTTGGTTTCTGGTTTTGTTTTGGCAGTAAAATGCACCGTGTCAAATGGGCCCACAATGGCTATCAGGTAACAGACCAGTGGACAGGCATTGGGGGGGGGCTGGTTCGTGATATGTTTGTTCTATCTTTTGGGTTCTGTTTCTTCTTGGTGGGGCTTTCAACTGCTACCCTTTTGAAGACTGACTGGTTCCACACCAACTGGCAAGAAATCCGCTTTACGCCCTTTACCCAGTTGAACAACAACCTTCCCTAACTAGCCAAGTGAGATCAGCTTCGAACTTTGTGTTCAAACATCACTGCCCTGCTAGCGAAACCTTGATCGCGGATCTAATCTGACGGCGTTTCCATCCATTGCGTGCTTGAATCAACACACTCACTTGTTGCAGGGGTCGAATGGGAGGTTCTCGAAGGGGTCAACGTTTTGGTCGGTATTTGTTCGACACTCCAAAAGAAGACCAGCAATTTTTGCGAGCCCCTATTTTGAGATTCACCCAAATGCACGGCTGGTTTTTGGTGTGACCTTAGCACCTGGCACCTTTTGGAAGTAATGTGCTTTTCAATTCAATCTACAAAGGACCACCTACCCTTTTTGCTCAGGAGGGCTTGAAGCAACCCAGATTTGGGTGTGTCTCAAAACGGGGATTCGGACCCCAAAATGGTTTTCGGGGTTTCCCTTTTGTCTCCCTTTAAGCCAACCCCAACTCTACTAATTGGTTTCAAGGGTTATAGAAGGGTTACCTAAACTTTTACACCCATGTTAGTAGACTCCAGTAGTGCCCTTTTACCTTTTTTGGGGGAGGGTTCCCCTACTAAAATAGACTACAGGAAAAAATAGGGTGCCAACTTATTCTAACCTCTCTACTGGAGGACCTAGTAGAACCCAAAGTCAAGGTTTTTAGGGGCGCTGCTCAAGCGGCTTCCCCAGCCAATTCCGCCGAGGCTCGGGCAAGTGCTTGCTCTCTCAGAAGCGCGCCCAGCAGCTGGCCATCGTCTTCCGCGCCGCGGCGATGTGATTCGCTTTGGGCGCGAATTTGGTGCTTGCTGATTGGTTGCCGTTGTGTTTTATTGTTGAGGAATCGTGTTTGTGCATTGTGATTGTTTATTGTTTTGCTGTGTCTTTTGTGTGTGGCTTGTCTTGTTTATGTTGTTGTTTTTTGTTGCAGTGAGTTGAGTCATCTGAGGTACGCCTGGGAAAGCTAAACAACAAACATGATCGAGGCAGATAATGATAAGGGCCTGAATCTTCTTTGAAGCTCCCACATATTAGGCTTTGGAGATGCGGGCCGTCAAACTCACTTCCCTACAGCTGATCAACGTGTGCTAGGATTCACGAAGGATGGGCCTCACCCGCCAAGTGGGGAAGGGGTAGGGGAAATTCAGATCACTCTCTCATGTTCTTAGCAACTTGTCAAGCTCAGTTGAATGGGAAACAACGAGCCGTTCAACATGGTAGTTCTCAACTGGAGCGTCTTTTCAGGGAGTTGCCCTTATTTTTTGTTTAAACTTGTGATGGGCGATAGGGGCTTCCCCATTGTTTGCACACACAGACACATCCGTGTAAAATGTGGGTGGTGTGCGATAATGTGTATGTAAGCCCTTTTTCAGATGAATGGTGTTCACGTTGACCACTGCAAAAGGTCCACCGGTCTCATTTGGAGGTATGTTTGCTGTTCAGCGTGCTCTCGTGACTTGTGCTATGAAGTCAATGCTTGGCATTGTTTTCTCAGGGTATCCTTTTGAGGTTGGCTTATACGAAAGGAAACCAACAGGAAAGCCTCGTTTGTACTTGTGGGGGTCGAAATCCCTTTTTTGGCACATGCCCACTTGTGTTGGTGTGTTATTACTTTGGCCGCTGCCCTTTGTATTTTTGGTTTCCCCTTTCCAACAACTCGGCGGTTACTCCAGGCTGTGAATCAACAGGGGCCATACCATAAGTTTCCATGCCACCTGTTGCAGGCCAAAGGCCCCAAGTGTTGTCAACCGATTCACTGCCCAGGTCCACATGCTTAGGTCTTGAACAGGGCGAATCCCTTTTTGACCGTGGAACAGACAGCGCAAGAGCATCAAGTTCTCCGCGGGGTCTCTGATTTTCAGATGTATCATAGGTGTGTCGCAAACTTAGTCAAAGATGGGTAATCATAGGTGTCCTTTTTGGTTGTTTAGGTAGAAACTGATGGCCCTGGTTTACCTGATATTTTAATCATTTACCAGGGCCATGTGTTTCCCCTAAAAGGACACCTATGTGGGTGATGTTCTTTTACTTCTCTTTGAACATGAGCCCGAGGGTGCCACCCACAAGAATCGGCCTCGCCCGGCCATGTCGGCCATGTCCGAGGCCGGTTGCCCATCCCCTTGCAGAGACTCTGCTCGGCTTTGCTGGCCCTGGACTTTTCCATCCCTCTAGGGGAGGAGTGGGGGAGTGGGGATGGCCGCCTTGGCCAAAACCCAGACTCAGTTCAGTGGAGTCCCCCTTATCAAAATATATTTTAAGTCAATATGTTAAACACACATATATATATATATATATTATAATTAATCAATTGATATCTAAGTATTATAAATAACTTTGCTTAAATAATGTATGCAATGCAATCTATTAATATTGTTGTTTTGCAGAAAGGTTCCCTGCCTCGAAAGGGTTTGCTTCGAAGTTCAATCTTTGGGGTTCGAAGTGGCATAGTTGTTCGGGAGCTGAAGCCTGATTGATTCCTGGGTGCACTTGACATGTGGCCCAGCAACCTGACAGACCACAAATCCACAAAGCTGCCACTGGTTTTGCTGTGGCCCCCCCTCACCGTGCAATTCTGGGCGTCCATGGCTCCTTGTGTTCCCGCCAAAACTCGCAACGCCACGCATCCAACATGCTTCATTTGAGTAGAGGTAAGCATGGCCAAGTGAAACCGGTGCATCAACCGACCAGACTCGACTTGGAACGAGGACATCCGTCAAGGGGACAGACCAAACCTGCTGTCTTAAGCGGAAGCAAACACCTTCGCGCCCGCGGCAAGAACTGCCTCATTGCGACCAACTCCTGCCTCTTTGCTTCTGCGCCTACCAGCAAGGGCATCCTTTGGGGATCTTCAGCTTGAAAATGCCTTCTCCATCTTGCGCTCAATACCATCTTGACCAAGTGAGTCAAAACTTGGCATGCATC